TGTTGCATGCCATTCTATTGGAAAATCCAAAAAAATTGGAAAATACAAAATCCAAAAAAATGGCAAAACGAAAACCCAAAAAAATGGCAAAACGAAAACCCAAAAAAACGGAGGCCAGCGGCGGTCAGGGCAGGTGGGTGGGACAAACAAGAAGCTGGACAGATCCAGTCGAGCTTCCCTCCTTACTGATGAGTTCCGGGGAAAGCCTAGGACCTGTTTAGCCAAACCGTCTGAGGGTAGGAACGAAACGGTACATCCTCTATTTGAGGAACGAAACGGAAGGACGACTATCGGCATCGGCTGCCTCTGTTGAGGACAACCATCGGTACAACCATCGGTTGCCTCTGTTGAGGACAACCATCGGTACAACCATCGGTTGCCTCTATTGAGGACAACCATCGGTTGCCTCTGTTGAGGACAACCATCGGTACAACCATCGGTTGCCTCTGTTGAGGACAACCATCGGTACAACCATCGGTTGCCTCTGTTGAGGACAACCATCGGTACAACCATCGGTTGCCTCTCTTGAGGACCACCATCGGTACAACCATCGGCTGCCTCTGTTGAGGACGACCATCGGTACAACCATCGGTTGCCTCTGTTGAGGACAACCATCGGTACAACCATCGGTTGCCTCTGTTGAGGACAACCATCGGTACAACCATCGGTTGCCTCTGTTGAGGACCACCATCCTTACAACCATCGATTGCCTCTGTTGAGGACATCATCGATTGCCTCTGTTGAGGACAACCATCGGTTGCCTCTGTTGAGGACAACCATCGGTACAACCATCGTGCCTCTGTTGAGGACAACCATCGGTACAACCATCGGTTGCCTCTGTTGAGGATAACCATCGGTAGCCTCTGTTGAGGACAACCATCGGTTGCCTCTGTTGAGGACAACCATCGGTTGCCTCTGTTGAGGACAACCATCGGTACAACCATCGGTTGCCTCTCTTGAGGACCACCATCGGTACAACCATCGGCTGCCTCTGTTGAGGACGACCATCGGTACAACCATCGGTTGCCTCTGTTGAGGACAACCATCGGTACAACCATCGGTTGCCTCTGTTGAGGACAACCATCGGTACAACCATCGGTTGCCTCTGTTGAGGACCACCATCCTTACAACCATCGATTGCCTCTGTTGAGGACATCATCGATTGCCTCTGTTGAGGACAACCATCGGTTGCCTCTGTTGAGGACAACCATCGGTACAACCATCGTGCCTCTGTTGAGGATAACCATCGGTAGCCTCTGTTGAGGACAACCATCGGTTGCCTCTGTTGAGGACAACCATCGGTTGCCTCTGTTGAGGACAACCACAATTGAAGAGCCAAAGTTGTTTTCTCTTCTTGAGGAATATAACTTCGTTTTTTTACCGAAGTGTATGTGATGCCGGGCGGAGCCGGGTATGCCAGCTAGTCTCCTTATATGCTTTCATAACCTTGAGACAGGTTGTTATGTTAGTTCGTAAAGAAAGTTCTGTCAATAGAGGTTGAGCTAAATTGTTTTATTCATATCTTCATCATGAGTGGCTGCCAAACAAGGATATTTTGGTCATTTGTACTGACATCCTTAGACCACCGATTAGGTGAGTTTTTTTCCCAAGAGCGGGCTGGATTCAGTTCCAAACGGGTGGAGAGTCCAAGTTTTTGAACCCTGAAATTAATGTGAGGGATTTTTCAATTGGAAAAAGTCTCAGATACCGCAACAACTATGAGTCGGATATTGCTTCATCTAACCAATGCGAAGGTTATTATCAAATGGATTTTCAAATCAATCTTTTGCAAGTTCTGCGCGTTCATAATATGAAAATTTGCCTTTTTGCAGGTTTTTGCAACTGACTTTTCTCCTTTTTTGGGCTTCTTAGTTTATCGTTATTTTTTCAAGCTGAAGGGTATTCGGTAGCTGTGGCCATCACAGAACACATTCCTTACCTGCTGCATTCGCATTCAATTTTGATAGTCATAAAAAGAACTGGCAGAACTTCCTTTACAAGCTAATATATGCTTTTTGATCATAGCAGTAGCAGTTTTGCTAATAGAAATTATTCGGTGAGGTGAACGACAAAAATTATTGTTGTAAGTGCGCAGCGGCAGGCAACCCTTGAGTAGGCTCAAACGTGGCAGGCAGCATCATTTTTCAGGTAATAGTTACGAGACTAATTCGGTGAAAGCTCCTCCACCCTCTGCACTAGTTAGACTTGACGAGGTTTCATAACATCAGCTACATACCTTTATGTAAATACATTATGCAGCTTGAAACGATTACTGAGAATTTCTCTCTAAAATATGCTGATCTCCATGATTGCCTTGAACTATAAGATGCACTTTATCAGCTGCACGTTTTTATTTCTTCATTCCGGGTGAGTTAGGACTTGGAGAAGTTTATGCTAGGCTGTTAAATTCCGTGTCTCAATGTAGATGAGATTGAAGAAGAAATCGCAGCAACAAACACGCTGAACGCAAATGCAACTCCTCTTCACATTGTATTTGCTTATATCTAATAGTTTGTCCCATAAGTCTTTCATATTCGGGCCTTCAATTCGATATTTCTCAAGAACTAAGCCACCTGGTAGGCTGCAAATTCGTGGCAGTAATTCTGAGTAAATAAGCTAGGTAGTTTGCGCGGAACACGGAACTCATACAGGTAAAGTTTGAAAATTGAGCGTATTATTTTTTCTTGGTTTCTAGCCATTAGAAAAATGCAGCAAGTGCATGTGTAATTATCCGAGGAGGGGAGTACATGCATGAGAAAGTGGGAAACTCGCGGAGTTGTTTCGAACTGAGATATGATGGTTTCGTTTTTCGGAAATTTGGAAACTTTGTTATTTTGGCTTGGAACTTCTTGCGGATTGAGCTTGGTACGAACTTTCATACGCCTTTTTGTAAAGCTTGCTTTGATCTGTCGAATGGTACCCTGCATTCTATTAGGAGTTCAAGAAGAACTGATTTATGTCGCTGAAAAGTCAGGTATGAAAATTATGGGACACCCTAATATATAGATGACTGACTGTGTAATGCGGTCTCTTAGCATATTTTAACACGTTGACGACAGTGCCGCGCAATGATACGCGGCAGGCAGTCTGTCCCTGTGGACGACGCCGCGCAATGGTGCGCGGCGGCCTTAAAGGCGGTAGATCGGCAGAATGAGACCCGTGGCAAAACAAGGTCACAGGGTAGGACCCCCCATAATGGAACCTATGGGCCAAAGTTCGATCTTTCTCTGCCATTCTAACCCCCGAAATTTCAAAGCGAAAGCAGCGCTCATCTCGTGTCCTCTCCGAACCCGCGCACCCCACGGACGAGTGAACGCGAAGCCCGTCATGGCGAAGACGCAGAGTCGTTGCGGGACCTCATGCTTATAGCATTGCGTCTGGCGCTCTGACCGCGGAAGTCACTCGTCCATGGGGTGGGCGGGTTCGAAGAGGACAGGAGATGAGCGCTGCTTTCGCTTTGAAATTTCGGGGGTAAGAAGTGGCAGAGCAAGATCGAACTTTGGCCCATAGGTTCCATTATGGGGCTCCTACCCTGTGACCTTGTTTTGCCACGGGTCTCATTCTGCCGACCCACTGCCTTTAATTTCAATACTATCTGTCCAATCCTCTCAGTTTTTGTTCATATAATCAACATAGGCTCAGATGTGCTTCATGTATTAGTCCTGCCCCTTTTAGCAGACTCCGCCCACTCCCATGCCTCTCACAGGGACCCTTTTTGTTCATGAAAAGCATGGATGAGGCCGTAGATGAACGCAAAGACCTCAAACAACTTCTCAGATAATCGCCGGGGGCAGGCGGTCCGCAAACTCGCGCTTTTCTGCAAGCGGTCAGCAGAATTCTGGGGCGTGGCCAAACCTTCAGCGGGCGGTACTTCCTTTACGGTCGCATATTCTACCAGCGGGCAGCAATACAGCATTTTTTGCAAGCGCTCGGCAAATAATTTCTTTCAGCGAGCGCTGGCCAAACTTTCAGCAAGCGCTCGGACTCTTTAGGCATTTTCGGGCGTATGTCGAGCACAGGTAAGACTCTGTGTGGCAGAAGTGTCACCGTTGGTTTAATCACTCAAGTTTGAGGTACTTTCTCCCAGCGGAAAGTACCTGGGGGTTGCGCGGTCCTCCACAAAGGACCGTGCGGCCCCCGAAATTTTTGCATATTCTCGCGGAAAGTCCGCAAGAATGCGGCCACTGCGCCGCAGCTAATCCATAAAGAAATTGCGACTGTTCTTCAAGCATTCGTCTTTGATTTCGCCAATTTTCTTCCAATTTTCTGCAAGAGGGCGGCAAAAAATCAACGAACTATTTTTCCGGTGCGCGCTTGCTCAAAATTCGCATGGCCGCCTGCCCCCGGCGATTATCTGAGTTATGGCTAGGCCCCGCCCACCGTCGCGCAAACTCCGCCCCCTGAGTGGCAAGCTCCGCCCATTTTTCAAAAGTGGCGGAAATCGCATGAATTCTTGAAATTTGGGCAATTTCTGACATTTTTGGCCGAGTGGGCGGAGCTTGCCACATGGGGGCGGGGCTTGCACATTTTGTATTTCGTGCATGGATACATACATACATACATGGGACCAGGCGTAGGGATGCACGGAAACGTCTCATCCACAGGGACAGACCTCCAAAAAATGGCTCCTCGTCAACGTGTTAATAGTCGAAACCAAGTTCAATCAGTTTGAATTAAAAAGCTTCCTTTGGCTGGACAGTATGCATTTAATGAACAAGAACAGTATGGAGTCAAGTACTCTAATGAAACAACACCAAGAAAACTTTTACTTACTTATTGTTAAATAAAATAATTGACTCAACCTGTTGCATTTGATCGCTGATTGCGGATAGCACTTCCCTTCGACACAAATCGTACCTTCTGAGCATTCGGTCTATAAAGAAGTCGAATTTATTTTCTTACCCTTGAAGAGATCCTTGGATGTGCGTTTGGGAGTTTTTCCTGATATCAAAGATTTGAGGCTCAAAAAGCTCTCCTTTTTTGTTCGAGTTGGGACTTACCTCGAAACCGCAGGCCATCGATAAGCCGCCTGCTCTGTTGAAACATTGACTATCCTTGCAGGTGAAGTTGAGTGGGCATTCAAATTCGCCAAATACTGGTGGGCACCTGCGAAATCAACTTCTTTCAAATGTTTGAAGAGATTCTCTTTCATGGGAAGCTTTATATTTTGTAGTAAAAGTGTAGCTAAAGCACTTTCTTCGCTAAGAACCTGTCTTTTTACTTCAAATCCTTGCATGTTGCTTCAAAGGCACTTAACTTATAAAAACATAACACGATTGAAGATCAAAGCGACTCTGAAGTCATTGGTGTTGTAATTGAAGAGCAATCGGTAAAGGCAGTGGTGGTAGACAAAGTCGAATTTTCCAAGCTGTTTCGCTACCAATTTTGAGAATCTACCGGAATCGACCGCAAAAACATTCTGAGGACCTTATCTTTCAGCGCAATTTTTTCTGGACGTTGAGGTTGGATGAGGTGATAGAGGAAACGAGTAGAGCGTAAAAGGTGAAAATGCTAAAACAGCAAGAAATCGGATCGCTAAGCTCATTACAGCTTTAGAAGCTAAGCTCAATTTGACTCACTAAGCTTGATATTTTTACAGTTTGGTTGCTAAGAATTTGTCACTTTATCGTAAGTTTTTGCATAAAGAAATAAAAGACAGAACTAGGCTGACTAAGTTACGATTATACAAAGGCAAAAAAATAGAAATGAATAACAAAAGTTGTGCATTGGAACTGATCCTGATTTATTCTCTTGATGGCATCTGTAAACTGCCAATGAGCAGTCTACGATTCTTTTCCTATCTCATTAGAGGTGTTAAATATCAGCGTAGTTTGGGTAGCATGGTGAAAAAACTCTAGCAACATTCAACAATGCAGCTTGAGAATCATGGAAGGTACAAAATCGATAGATTCTTCAATCTGATTGCTGGGCTTGTATCAATTTCCGTCCAAAGTCGATACTGGTAAGCTTTCTGGTGGCTCATCAAGAGAGTAGGGGAAATTAGATAGAACGGTTTTTAGCGCATTTTATAACTTGCATTTCTAACAATAAGTACGTACATGTAAAAGTGTTTTTGCGACATACATTCTGTGATCAGCGCTCCGGTTTTTGCACGAAAATTAGGCCAGTTCGATTTGCCCTGCAAAAGTGCACAAAGACAGAGGATGCGCAAATTCTCCCAAGTTTCGACCTCAGTCTTTCACGATTCGTGATCCTTGGAAACTGTGGAGTAACGGAACATGAAAAATTACGTCTAGGCAAAGTAGAATGAAGTATGAGTAAGAGGTTGAAAGCTAACAAAAAATGAGTTTGCGGCACATGCTGTGATGTGATTGATCTACGAACAAACGAAATAGTTCTGAAAATTACAGTCCTTTGGGCATAGCTTCACTCGCGACCAATTTTATCATCTTGGATGCAATGCAGATAACCCTTTTTCTATTTCTTTGTATGTAAAATAGGAAAGTGCACGTGGCAATACTATAATGTTATATTAAACTTATACATAATACTTGCTCCAAAAAAACGTTCAAAAAATGTTTAAGACTGTTCAAATGGTTTTTCAAAGCACATAATTTACTTTTCGTAACATATATCAAGATTGTGTCTTATCACAAGCATTAGAGATTTTTTCGACTTGAAAGCAAGAAGTTGAATGAAAAATCCAAAATTTATAACTATTCCCAGAGTGGTCCGATCGCACGAATTTCTTTCGAATAGAAAAACGCAACTATGAAACCAAAGAGAAATGTAAATTGAGTCAGTAGTATTTAATGAGCCACTAAACCACTTTTTAAGACTTTATTCAACAGCTTGAATCATTGCAAATTAAGGCAAGGATAAAACTTGCTTCCAGTATTTCTGGAAAGTGCAAGTTTTCTGTAACATTATGTAAACTCCTTGAATACGGGAAAAATTATGAGTTTTTCGAACTTTTTGGGACAAGACTTATGCATCAATCTGTTACCACTTGATTAGTAGTGAAGCAATTTACTCAAAGTCATTTGAATAAGTTGCTTCAACAGTTGCTCTAATCTCATACTTTTTTCCTTTGCAATAATTTGCAATCAATCACATCAGTTTTGAAAGGAGTAAAAATATATCGGTTAACCATACCTTTCTGCTATTACGGAACTGGTCAGGAGGAGTAGGGTAAGTACAGGGACGCGCATGCTCAAGTGGTCAGCGAAAGCTGTCTCGCTTGACCTCAATCTCATCCCACCGCCCTTTCGCGAAAAATGTCCCCAGTGACAATGTTCAAACATCGACAGTTCGAGGACTTTTTTTTACTCCTCACACGATCTCCTTCACATTTCATGCCCGCGCTTCAGCAAAAAGTGTTTTTTTTAAGTAACAGATATGGCAGTGGCTTATCATAGAGTATGTTTAGATGATGTACGTAAGCATCGAGGTAGCCGCGACGGAGAGATCGCGCAAAACCAGACTTGCATGTAGAGAAGAGTTTATAGTGATTGGTAGAGCGAACAAATAATTTATTATGGTGTAATGACCACCGCAAAACCGACACGAGTTATCAGAATCCAAAAATGGTGTTAGATCAAGGATGGATGTTAGGCTTTGACTCGGCTTCATATAGAATCCTCTGCCTGTGAAGAAATTGAGTGAACTGTACGTCAGCTGATGGAAGCTGGTAAAGTGTTTGGTGGAGGACATCAAACTTGCAGTTTACGAAAACTGTATACTACAAATTTTGATTTTGGCACATCCTAAAGCTGCAAAACAACAGAGAATTTGAAAATTCAAAGACGGTGACGTGGTAAGAGTCGCTGTACGCATGAAGATGAAAATTTCTATTTCATTGTACAGGGCTTGCACAGCATTTTATATCACAAAAAATATAGTACATCAAAGGAGGAGCGACTAAATGCTTACTGAGCGTTAGTCAATTCAGTCTCATTTTCCTCCTGACAATATCCTGCAGAGTAGTGATGGTACGACATCGTGAACCTTGAATTCAGGGTTCATTTACCTAACAAAAAAGTCGTAACACTTACTCATTTTCCTCCATGAAAAACCTGCAAAATTTTCTGATATTTTCTAAGTAAATCTGAAGTAGTATTGAAAATTTTGTTGAACTGGTTCTCGGACTCCGGTTTTGGCTCAGGGAGCCTACAGGGTTCGCCAAAATAATTGCCACTGATTTTTACACTACTTCCATGAGCCACTGAGAAACACAAGCCCCAACTTGTGTCGTATAATGCTCTAAACGAACACTACTTAAATATTTTACAGAATTGGAAAAGTCCTTTTCTCAAGAATGTGGGAATCTCAAAACAGTAAGATTAATAGTTTTTGAAAAGCAAAAATGGGATTTCTACACCTTCAAATTTTGCTCTGCAAAACGAAGTCAAGTTCTTTCCGAAGCAGTCCAAGCTAAGCTTGAAGAGCACATTTTGTACTATCACAAATATACTAGTGCATTTGCATGAATTATTTCTTTCCTGGTATACGAATTGTACTTCAAAAATGCCTGGATGCTACGAGCAACAACCGTATGTTCAAGTCAACTGACAAGTCCCAGACATGCAAAACATTCCGAGCAAACAACAGATGTCTATTTATAAGACATGTACAAGAGTATCTATCAGGACCGATCTGTGAGAATTTTTTGGAACTGATTCAGAAGACGCCTTCTGATACTTAGGCACAGCCGGCGAGCCAAACTACTGCTGATTTCCAATGTGCTGCCTCGCAAGCATGTTTTAATTAGTTATTCTTCTTCAAATTAGCTTCTATACTTCCGTACTCATCAGATTAAAGGCGAGATTTGCTGTATTTTACTACACACTTTTGAGAAAGAAAAGGTTTTCGAAAAAATATCGCATGAATTTATGATGTGCTAGCATACAGAGTACATCACAAACGCAAAGGATGTGCATTATTTGTGGGAAAGCAGCCAGATCTTGATTTAATTACTGCATTACGATAATAATGGTTGGTGAAAACAAATGAATGCTTGATCCGTCTACAAACCCGTACCCTTTTGGCCCTGGGCATACCTCCCGGGATTGTTGCCACGCAATTTTGCCATTTGCCAGATCTCTTATACGCAGCAGTCGCAGACCATAAATGCTTGGTGTATCCAATTTTTGTGAGTCGATAAAACGTGCTATTCTGTGCTTAAATTGAGTATGAGTTATAAGCAACTGGACTTAGATGTCCTACAAAATGTGCAGAGGACTTGTCTTCACTTGCAAATAATTAAAGTAATTTTTGGAAATTTTTAAGAATTCAAATTAGCCTAGTAACAACAATTTTTTCGGCAAAGAAAGCTCAACATTTGGCCCATAATTGCTCACGATATACTGACGCATTGGTTTAGGTTTTGGCTTTCTTCGAAGTAACGTTCGGTTCAGGGCCACAAGCTGCTCCGAGAGAGGCAGAAAATTGTATGGTCGGCTGCAAAAGGGTCGGCAAAAAAATCTGCCGGTACGGTATCTCCATTGTGCAAAAGCGCGACAGCTGCCACAGATTTGTGACTATCGTGACGGATTTATGTGCGCATCTCATTTTCTATCTTCTTCGTTACATCTTTACATCAGTACTGTAGTTATTACGCTCTATTGTATATATATCTCAAGTTGAATGACTTCCCGTATATTCAACAACCTTTTTAGAAGTCGTGCAAGCACTTTGTAGCACCGTAGACTATCCGTTTTGATAGCTGCTTTTTTCAGAGATGGTGAGCAAAAAGAAGAAGTTAAAGGCACAGAAGCGGAAGATGGCTGAGTCAGGTGAAGACATCAACTTGATCGAGATTCCGCTTCAGAAATGCAAAGTCGAAGACCATGACAAGGCTGTAGCAAATGGGAAGGAGAACGATATGGATCAAAAAGATGGTGAGTCGATCAGTAGACAACTCCATTTTTTGTTAGTGTTTTCTAAAGGTAATTTAGGATCTTCTTTTAAATTTTCACTTTTTTTACTAAAAGCACCTATAGTCAAGCTTTTAAATATTCAGCAATCATGGGGGCTTGTGAACGTTGTATTTATCCTATACCAGAATTCAAAGTTTTTTGACACATAATCCATATATATCACAAGATTCCTCATGTAAAGGCAGTTTACTCATTTGGTACTATTCTTCTTCTTCTCCATTATACTTGTTTTAGGTCAAGCCCTGCTTCCCACTCGCGAATCCCTAGCTCATCAACTGTTGGTCGCAGTTCGAGCCAAGCACTTCGTAATCCTGGAGGTATTTTCACTGTCCGTTTTTGGCAGAAATTAAGTTGTGTTCGGCAGGGTCCCATAGGATGCGGAAAGACATTCTTGTACTCACATATAAGCAATGAGCTGCAGTTGCCACTCCGAACAATGCAGATGGGAGATCAGATTGACTCAAAAGTAGTGGAAGAAATTTGATACTTTTAAACTAACTGCTGCACTTCAGAGTTTGTTCGGATATTATCATTGCACAGAAGTAGCTGGCCAGTTTATATGGAAGACTTCAAATTTTTGCCAAGTATGTGAATTTCGGAGTAATTCATTCGGTCCCGATAGTGATGAACGACGGCCCTCGCTTTCAGCAATGACTATATCACCTAAATCTAGTTAGACCTTGCGTTCCAAGTATGAGAACACATAAATAATCTTTTCAATGTCTTGCTTCACCTGTCGTCTTCACTTTAGATCATTGTCATAAGATCTGTTCATGTGAGAGCACAACGAATCAAATTCTACTACTGTTAGTGTTCTTTTTAGTGGCTGAGCGAACCATGCTTGATTTTACTAGAAGATATCGATTCGGCCAATGCCGATGTGATTTCCAAAATTGTACAGTTGGCATCTGATAGAAATGTTACTATTCCAACGGGAAAAGAACTGGTTTTCCATGACGACGTTCGAATCTGCGCTACAGTGAGGTATGCTCAAAGGTTTTCAAAAACTGATTTCTGAGTGTATTTTTGTTCTAGCGGTAAAGGAAAGAAAAATAGCGTGCTTAATGGTGTGCCACTTCGATTCTCGCTGAACGAATTAACAGATGAGGAACTTCGGCGACTCATTTCGAAGGTTTTTGTTCATAGTTATTCTTCAATAGCTTGTTGAAGGCTGCTTCCAGGCCTCGCCGAGAATTGCTCATTTAAAAAAAACGCTCATATCTATCTTTCGAGCAGTACAATCTGTCCCTCCTACCACCAACTCTCGGGTGCTGACATCATCGTAAGTTTTCTTCTTTCGTGAGGATATGGGAGTTTTGTCTTTGCTCTTATCTCCATCTTCCCGAATTGAATCTGTGCCCAAAATTTACTTGGGCGTAATTTTCGATGTTTCCCAGCATGGTTAAGTGTTTTAGTGATTTGCTACGTGCTTGTGCAAGGTTGAATAAACTCACTGATCTCTCATCTAACATGGCTATATTTACTGAACTGGTGGATACATGGTGTCTCGCGGATACATCCGATAGAGCACTAACGCTTTGTCACAAAGTGAGGTTTTGTTCATAAACACGCTTTTTTATTTTACAACCGGGATCAATTTGAGGTGGCCGCTCCGTTGTCCATCACTACTGACCAAGTGAATTTTCACCTCCTTCTTCGACAGCCAACTTTCTCACATGATGAACGCTTCATTACTGTTGGTCGCTGTCGCCTGCCGAGCTCACCATCATTGAGCAGTTCGGAAAAACATCGCTTAGGTCACACAAGGTAATGTCTACCTATTCGTCCACAAAAATAATGTTTGATATTTTTTAAAGGGATGTACTTCAACTAATGGAACGGATAGCTGTGTGTGTTCAAAATTGTGAACCGGTTTTACTAGTAGGAGAAACTGGTGTGGGCAAGACTTCCATAGTCCAGGCTCTAGCCTCCGCGGTCAACGTATCTCTTAAGGTTGTTAATCTCAGCCCATCTTCGGATAGCGATGAGCTGATCAGTGGGTGAGTTAGAGATTACGGGTTCTCATTGTCGAAACATTCAATTATTCTATTTTCTAAGCTTTAGCCTTCTGTAACATCTTACTTTCAGGTATAAGCCCACCAATATTGCTCACATTTTGAAGCCATTCACGGATTTCTATCACGATGTGTTTACCAGCAACTTCAGTGTTGCCAAGAACCAAAAGTTTCTCAATCATTTGGAGGTGAGAGTTCTTTGTCACATATTTTCACTCTGTCACAATTTATGCCTTGGATATTAGGCATGTCTCTCCCATGGTCGTTACAAGGACTACTTGACTGTTGCAATTGCAACGGCTGAAAAGGCTTTGAAGAAAGAATCAACGAAAAGGGTTTGCTTCTGAGCTTCAAATTTCATAACGAATACGTTAGCTTCTTGTAGGACGTTCGCTGGGCCTCCGTTATAGTACGTGGCAGACGGATCAGAGATGGTTTAGATCGTAATGCGGCTCCATTTACTATGAGCCGTGGAGCGGTGCTGGAAGCTGCACAGGAAGGGCATTGGCTTCTCATTGATGAGGTATCCTGCTGCTAGTGTTTAATTTCTTTTGTACTTCAATTTTACTTTACATAATCTCCTTCAGCTTTCTCATTCCTTCTTTCTTACTTGCTATATACCTACTTTAGATCAACCTGGCTCCTCCTGAAAGCCTTGATGCCATCGTCAATGTAATCTCGAAGAACACTCATCCAAATTTTCGACTTTTTGCTTGTATGAATCCAGCAACTGATGCTGGGAAACGCAGGCTGCCGTCAAGTGTGCGGACCCGGTATGTTGCTATTGTCCAATTTTTTTGGTTTTCTAATGGTAAGTATTGTCGTAATACCGATTTATTATGCAGCAATTGTCCTTATTAAGGTTTTACTCTAGATCATGTTCGAACAAATGAAATTGAAAATGTTTAACTGACAATTTGTTGTACAAGCCTGAATTTCGTTTTTTCTTGAGCTTTTTCCCAACCATATATTTAGGTTTGTCGAGTTTTTCGTTGGCGAAATCCATGATGCTCATCAGCTGCAGCTGGTCGTTTCCACATATGTACCATCTATGAAATCAGCCACTGTTACCAATCTTGTGAACTTCTACTTACAAACCAAGCAACTACACCCTTCAAGCTACAGGTTTTAGTCATTATGTTAAATCTATCCATATAAAGGTTCTTTTTAGTCTGCGCACACTTTGTCGAGCACTTTGTTTTGCCACCGACAACGTCTTTGGGAATGAGGATAGAAATGTCTACGAAGGGGTGCGTACCCTTTCTTATCGTCGTTATGGCTTTCACAGGTCATCCTTTAGGTTTGCATGGCCTTTCTTACAAACCTTGATGCTGAAGCGAAACAGATGATGAGGGCTAAAATCGCGCAAACATTCCGGGCTGCTACAAACATCGTTCCTCCTTCTCCATTTGCCAAAGAAAATTGCGTATCGGTATGTTCAAAGATTTCTCTCACTTTCCTTTTTTTTGTTTTCGGAAGTTTTATGTTTTTTCTTGTGTCATTCATTTGCATGCATGTAAAGTCTCCATGCGTTCATGCATAGCATAAGTGTTTGAGCTTGCAAGCGAAATGCAGTCATCAAACGCAGGTGAATATAAAACGCTTTTATTCCCGCCGTTATATCATGTCTCTGTTTTCTTGTGCTTACGAGTTACGACTACTCATAATTGTGCCTGCATGCTATACTTCAAATGGCGAGGCTTACAGTTTTCTGACGCTATCTTGGATTTAGAAGTCGAGCAATGTATCGCTCGGGCTGCAAACGCATGAGTGTAAATTTAGCATCTGAACACTTTAAGTCTTTGGTTGCGTAGAATTATTTCTTGTCATTCACATTTCCCTATTTTTTTTATAACGGGATCTCGTTTCAGATCGAGGGTTATTGGATAGAGCGTGGTGCAAATCTGCCTGAGGAGGACCCAAATTATGTTGTAACCAAAACTGTCAAAGTTAATCTAGCTGAGATTGGTAGAATTGTCTCCAGCGGAAGGTACTTCTTAGATTATACATTAAGATGAAGTTTTCTTTTTTATTTCATCTGTTAGGTTCCCTGTGTTACTGGAGGGAGAAACGAGTGCGGGAAAAACCTCAATTGTTTGTTATCTTGCTCGATTAACTGGAAATGCCATAGTGCGCATCAACAACCATGAGCATACCGACGTTCAAGAGTAGGCTAATCTTGCTTTTGTTTCGGAGTTGGATTGCAACCTGAGGTTTTAGATATATGGGGTCTTATATTGGCGACGCTGCTGGACGACTTGTTTTCCAAGAAGGCGCTCTTGTAAAAGCCGTTAGAGACGGTAGCTGGGTCATTCTAGACGAACTAAATCTTGCCCCTACCGATATTATCGAAACACTGAACAGGGTAACTTGAATATTGAAATATTACGATATTATATCATGATCACTAATATGCTACATTTTTGTGTTTATTTCTCAGTCACTTGTTCTAGTTACTCGACGACAACCGCGAATTGTTTGTGCCTGAAATGAATACAGTGGTCCATGCTCATCCACGTTTTCGTCTCTTTGCTACACAAAATCCAGCTGGAACATATGGTGGTCGAAAGCGGCTCTCCCGTGCATTAATGTCTCGATTTGTGGTGCTGAAGTTTGACCATTTACCGCTAGACGAGCTTTCTTCCATGGTTAGTAAACTATGATTTCCGGATTGAGCTGCTTAGTCCAGCTATACTGATAGTCTCTGTCTACGTAATCGAGAAAATTCTTCAGGTATGCGTCCGTTGTGGCGTGCACCCTTCAGCAGCTACAAGAATGATTAATGTATTGTCAAAACTTCGGTTGAGGCGTTCGATAAGTGGGCTGTTTTCAGCGAAAGACGGTCGGTTAACAGCATAATGACTGGCAGTAAGTCTCTGAAATATCGTTTTAGGGCTCATGACCTTGCGAGATGTGTTTCGGTGGGCAAAGCGTCTTGCCACGGATACTACCTGCGAAGACTGGCTTCAGGTTCGTAACTCGATGTCTGGAAACCTGCGTAGAATTGTTTTTGTAGATATTGGCAAATCACGGATATTTTCTTCTTGCTGGACGATGTCGCAACCAGAAGGACGTGGATGCTGTCGTAGAGACTCTAGAAAGCGAATTGAAACGGAAGATTGAGGTAAGAATAATTAAATTTGATTTTGATTATGAATTTTCTACATTTTTGACTTCTAATTTTCTGGATGTTATTTTCATTATCTGGAGCTATATATACTTTAGTTATCATTTAAGCCATCAAAACTTTTTGCGTCCGACTCCCCTTACATGCCAAAAGGGGTGGAGTTAGGAAGCATCGTGTTGACTCTGGGAATGAGGAGAATGCTGGTTATGACTGAACAGGTAATGCCCATAAAATTGCGCTGATTCTTGCCAGAATCATTATTTTATGGCTACAAATGCATGTTCCTAATTACATTTTTCTCTTTTGTCTAGCCTTTTCATCATTTTCTCTTCTTCAGGCGTGGCTTCGAAATGAAGCAGTTTTGTTGATTGGAGAAACTGGAGGTGGAAAGACTAGTCTTGCACAGGCAATGGGAAAGGGAAAACTAACCACTATTAATTGTCATGAAAGAACTGAAACAGCTGATTTTCTGGGAAGATTGCGACCTAGGGAGGACGGAGGGTTCGTTATATTTTCGAGTGTTGCATGTGAAGTGTATATGGAAAAGTATGGAAAAGTAATGCTTCATTTCTCTTACAGCGTACATGTTGCAGATTTGCATGGTCTGACGGAATAATTATATCAGCAATGAAAGCGGGTGTTCCTTTGTTAATTGATGAAATATCGCTTGCTGAAGACTCCGTATTGGAGAGGTTGAATCCTCTGTTCGAAGAGGTTTGTGTTTACATAAATCATTAAGTGTACCTTATCATAACAAACCAAGGATCGGACGTTGCTGTTGTCGGATGCTGGCGTAGAAGCGCACCCTGTTAGTGCGAAGGAGGGCTTCCAAATGATCGCCACCATGAATCCCGGAGGCGACTACGGAAAGAAAGAGGTATAATTCTCTTCAAAGTTTTGTGGAGACGTATTAAAGTCGGAGTTTCAGCTATCGAAAGCTCTGCGAAACCGTTTCACCGAAGTCTGGTCTAGCTGCGAGTACGAAACAGACGAACTGTCAGCTATTTTCGACTCCAGAGTTGCTAAGAAGCTAGGCGAATCCATTGACGAGTCTATACGACCGCCCTCACACATAGTGGTTGACTGGATTGCTGCGTTTTTCAAAAAGCATAGTCATGTGTTCAGGTGAGATTGGTGGTTTGAATTGGTGAGGTGAATTAGCAGCATTCAGGCATTATCCATCAGTTCGAGATATCGTAGCATGCGCGGAGATATTTGCGGCATGTGTGGCTAAAGGATTGGGTAGATCAACAGCTATCTACGAGGCCATATCATCCGCGTTTTTGGATGCTCTTGGAGGTCTACCTGTACGGATGAGCGTCGATATTGGAAAATTACGAAGTGATGCGAAAGAATTAGTCAGTTATTCCAATGTTTCCTTTTTTCAACGCCGAAAGCAGATTAAGATTGCAGTAAGAATGCTTTATACAAAAATATCTACCCTTCATCCTATCATCTCTGGCTTTATTTACGTTTCGAGCCTATCCTTCTTTGGGTATCTTCCAGGCTGTGATTTAATGATCTTTCTTATCCAAACTTTTACTTTTTTTAGCTGCATCATCTCTCATCCGACTATGAAGCATTTTCTGAGACTGCACTTGTTTTATGCGAGGGCGCGAATGGCTTGAGGGTTGGACCATTTACTGTTGAAAATGGTCCACTGCCTCCAGTGAAGCCTAAGTCATTTTCACTCCGGGCTCCAACATGTGTTTCGAACTTTTATCGGATAGCAAGGTGCCGTTTCGTTTTGTCCCACAAAGTTTACAAGTGAAATTAATTTTGCAGAGGTCTCCTAATAAATAAGCCAATTTTATTGGAAGGATCTCCCGGTTGTGGGAAGTCAAGCACAGTAATGGCCTTAGCACAGCTGACTGGACATCCATTGACAAGGTTGAACTTATCCGATCAAACGGTGAATTCTTCCTCGGCATTTATATCCTGAGCCCAGGTCATACCCCATTGTCTGGCATTCCTTTGACAAAGTCTAGCCAGAATTCACAAAAAAAAAAGTTTTTCATCGGACTCTACCAGTGGCGGTCCCAGGATTTCCGTCCGGAGGGGGGGCAAAAAAATTTTTTTCCAATGTAGGTGCGTGGCGTTAGCCACGCACTCCGAAGAATTTTTTGGGGTCCTCCCTCCCCCTTCCCCTCGGTTCGCCACTGGTCTATTTTTGCAAGTTTCAATCTTGTTGCCTCTAAGCTAATCTAGGTAGATCTTGGCAATAATATATACTCTTTCTTCTTCTAACGTGAATGCAGATGAAACAAACGTCCATAGATACTTTGGTTTATATGAAGTCAGTTTTCTCCAGGATCTGTCCGATCTTTTTGGTAGCGACGTACCTATGGTGACAGATGATGGAAGCATCTCCTTCTGCTGGAGCGATGGCCCAGTTTTACGAGCTATAAAAAGGGGAGAATGGGTACTTCTTGATGAGGTAACAAGGAAACTTCTAACGAACTGGAAGTATAAGAGGATTTGACGGTTTTTCAGATGAACCTTGCGTCACAATCGGTCCTTGAAGGTCTCAACGCATGCTTCGATCATAGAAGAGTTTTGTACATAGCCGAGCTTAATCGCTCGTTTGAGATTCCACCGGGTAGCAATTGCCGCTTCTTTGCTTGTCAGAACCCGCGGATGCAAGGTGGAAATCGGCGAGCACTTCCGAAGTCTTTCGTCAATCGCTTTACAAATGTAAGCTCAATTGCTTGTCTTTCTTGTTAAAATTATTCTGTTTCCAGCAACTAGAGAGCAGAATAGGAATCAGCGGAACCTATCCTTTTTTATTTTGCATAGAAGCTCTTTAATTGAAAAAGTAAATTATTTGTCAGACTTATCGAGTTCTCCTGTGATGGAAAGGAAAGAAGTTTGGAGATGCCTCTCCTAACTCATTTTTTCAGATTTACATTGAAGATCTCACAGAGGAAGACATTTTATTCATTTTGAAAGAGCAACTCGCAGCCGCGCAACTTGACGACAATTATCTTCGAGCAATGGTGAACATCACAATGCGTCTGGCATCGCAACAAAACCTCCACGGTGGTCCTTTCTCCTTCAATCTTCGAGATCTGCTGCGGTGGATACACCTCTTTGAAAAGGTAACAAGGATCTGTTCCATGTTCTTTCTTTATCTTCCCACTTATAGAATGGTGATATGACGAGTTGTTTCGATACGTTATATGTGAGAAGAGTGAGAAGAGAGGAAGACCGTCGAAAGGTTGGTCTCTTTTTTCTGCAATGTCTATGTCAGTCTACGCTTTCTGTGTTTAGCTGCGTGAGCTTTATGAAGAACTGTTTGGAGAACCGTGCATTACTCCTCCAGTGGTGATCTCTGCTGAAAAAGATGATCTAATTGTTGGAAAAGTGAGTCTTCTGCCTGTCATCTCAATGACCCTTACTTGTTTATTTTTAGATACACTTACCGCGGAAAAGTGGTATTGTTACGAACCGTCAGTCGCATCTCCTATTGCCTAGCCAATACGTGCTGATGTATCAGCTCTCTGTTTGCGCATATATGCAGTGGTTGTGCCTCTTGGTAGGGCCTAGGTATGTTTTACAGCTCTGAATCGTTTTAAGTACGTAGTAATCTTTCGCCACCATGGATGAAGCATAGTGTGGAGATGGCTTGATTTTTACGCTGCAATCTTAGAATTCATGGCGCTTTAATCTGTTCAATGATTGCTTCAGAAATTGTGGGAAGCGCTCTACGTTAGAAAATTTGGCACATATGTGCGGCATTAAACTTCATACTATCATCCTCAATGCAGAAACTGACGCACAAGAGCTTATAGGTTCATACGAACAGGTACTTCAACAGTACCCGTATCTTTGTTCATGAGTTTCGCGTTTTCCAGGTGATTGACGACTCCCCGATTCTGGAAGCTAAGAACGCCATCGGGGAAATGCTGAGCCCGTATGCTGAACCCTCATGTGTTGACAAAATTGTCGCAGCTGGCGACATGACAGAGTTGGAAACAGTAACCGAACTGGTGTTAGCCGAAATGAAAGAAAATGTGGCAGTCACTGATCAGTGCCGTGAGATACTCGCTTGCGCGGCTCGATCAGCTATGCGTTTCGAGTGGCGTGACAGTCCTTTCGTGAAAGCTTATTTGGAGGGACACTGGCTACTCATCGAAGATGTCAATTTGTGCAGGTGAGCTGAACAGCTTGTTCGGGGAAAAATTTTTCGTATCTCCACTAGGCCAAATGATCATGTTTAGCGCCGCTGTATTAGATCGTCTCAATAGCTGCCTCGAAAGCGAAGGAAGCCTAGTGATTCCAGAGCGCCAATCCTATTTTGAGCCTTTGGAACCTCACCCAAACTTTCGGTATGTCTTTATCTAAACGAGTTCCTTGTCAGTTGATCTTTACTGTTCGCCAGCGTTTTCTTGTCAATGGATCCACAAAATGGCGAAATATCCCGTGCCATGCGGAATAGAAGCGTCGAGATATTTGTTGGCGAAGAGCAGCAATGGTATAAGCATCCTTTGGATGTTGCAGCGGTGACATCATCTCCTGCAAAACAAGTACCACTCAGGGTATGTACATTTTCGACTTCAGGCAGTAATAATAGACAACGAGTCGTTTAGGTATCGGAAGCGCTCTGTTCTTTGTCTGCAGAAAATCAGTTGCATTTTGCTGCGCTACTAAGTGAAATGTCGGTGCCGGAAGCATGTAGAACATTTGCTCTGCCATGCCCCGACGTGGATGACAGCAAAGAAAATGTCATACGATTTCCTTTCGAGAGGGATGTTGGAACAGAGAGGTGTGATTGGTTTTACTAGCGCATCTCTAGAAAGCATCATGGTATTTTAGTTATGATCTATGGATGATTGAGTCTTGGAAACTGTGTGGCGCATCAGATATATCTTCTGCCTTGCTGCTTTCTTTTCTTTCGACTTCAACGGCCGCATTGAAAAATAATTTCTTCCATCGTGTCTTTGGAGATTACAGTGAGCATTTTGCAACATTTTTCCTATCTCGTACTACATTCTTGTTAGTTTCTTCCACTTTCTCTTTGGTTCTAGAACTCATCCAGTTGAAAGCTTCAACTTTTCTAGAATCATATCAGCTCTACTTTGTCATTATGCTCCATTTCTGCCTTGGAAATTGATGGGATTTCTGGTTTTATAATACATTAGTTTACTCTAGGGGAAAACAAAGTTCAGGGGTCTTCATTTCTCGACGGTCATTACTTTCTATATTCTCATGCGTAATTCTCATCGTATTGCAAAACATTCTACAGCTATCAACTCTTCATTATCTTTTTGAAAACTCCATATGATGCGCTAGCACCTTCTGGTGGCCATCCTCTGCTATCTAATAGGTCGTCCCGAAAGTTTTGTCGCACCATTTCAAAAAATTCATATGCTCTTATTTTTGTATGGAAGAGTAAGTCATGCTCTTTATAAGGACATCTTAGCTGCTTGCTAATGATCATCTGTTGCATAGATAGCAGCGATAGAAGAAAATTTGTCAAAATGCGAATTTTCTGTGCAGGGTCATAAAATATCGGTAAATTGCAACAAAATCGGGGCAGTCAGTATCATAGGTTCTTTCACCAGCTCTTCCTGACTATGCAAAGTTTGCGCTGATTGAGCGTCTCTATGAAAAGTTATGATTTCCCTGAAAAATGCCAAAATGAATCAAATTCGCTCTTTTGTATTGCTTGCTCGAAAGTCATAACCTTTCATAGAGACGCTAATCGGCGCAAACTTTGCACTGTTAGAAAGAGCTGGAAGAACCTACAATACCGACTCTCCGATTTTTGTTGCAAGTTTCCGATTTTTTATCACCCTACCCAGAAAATTCTAATTTTAACTAATTTTTTTCTATCGCTCCTATCTATGCAACAGATGAACATTAGTAAGCAGCTAAGATGTCTTTATAAAGAGCTTGACTTACTCTTTCATACAAAAATAAAAGCAATCATCTGTTGGAAAAATCAGAATTATGAATTTTTGAAAGTGGTGACACTTACCAGAACTTTCGGGACGACCTAATATTAGGTATTCCGAAAGTAATTTCGCTTTTTTCAAGCGGGCGCCACATTTGCTAGGACAAAGGCTTTTAAGAGAAATTGGATGCATTCGATGCAGAATTTCATTCTCTTTCTAAAGGTTATGAAATTGTTGCAAAATAGTCAATGAGCTTTCAGAAAATAACCAAAAGCGACCCATGCTTTTGAGATGGTCGAGTTTCACGATTTTTTGAAACTTTCATATCAATCCTCAGAAGGAGTTCAAGTAAGGATTCGATAGAGTAAACCTTATAGAATACAGCACTACTTTTTTCTCTTTTCTCATATCTCGCCGTAATTTTTTAAAAGATTTTTAAACAAAACCGTCGGATTTTGGCAGGCCCACATCAGCCACAACTGCATCAAACATCATAATTATTCGGAGTTTGAGACTACCAAGATGGTACTATCAGTTAGCATTAATTTTACAAAGCAAGTGAGGGTTTACGGGTTTGAAATATCATATTTCGAGTTTTTCGCTTACAGCCTGGGGCTCGCTAAAAAAATGAGATGTGATGATTTTATCCCCGGAAAACTAAACGGATCGGAAACAAAAAACACCTCTTAGAAAGAGGAGAAAATGCTGCATCGAATAGTGCGCGAGCTGCTCTTCTTTTAATGTTTTACGAGGATTTAGCTGCCCAAGTGTGGTAAGCGGTAGCATCAGTTAAAATTCTGTTAAACATGTATGACAAGCTATGGAAAGGAGGAAAAAGCACCACTGTATTCTATAAGGTTTACTCTATCGAATCGTTACTTGAACTCCTTCTGAAGATTGATATGAAAATTTTAAAAAATCGTGAAACTTGACCATCTCAAAAAGCATGGGCCGCAAATTTTGGTTAATTTCTGAAAGCTCATTGACTATTTTGCAACAATTTCATAACATTTAGAAAGAGAATGAAATTCTGCATCGAATGCAGAATTTTATTCTATTTTCAAATGCTATGACATTTCTAATTTCTTTCTTTCTAATCCCAGATCTCTTGAAAACCTTCGCTCTATCAAATGTGGCGCCCGTTTGAAAAAAGCGAAATTACTTTCGGAATGACCTAATATTTTCGAGCTGAAGTTAACCAGCAATTAATTTTTTGTCTAACTCTCTTCATGCGCTTGTTGAAAAAAAAAACGAGATGTTCTTTGTTGCTTTCTATTATTTGCCGTCTTTTGACGCATATCTTGCATTGTATTCTTTATCCTGTCTGCAATTCGATTCTTTTTCACCCACTCGGTTTATAAAAAGGCCGAATGATTCTTGCACTCTTGGTAGCTAATATTTTCCGTTTTCATGTAGAATTCTCACTTTCCAAAACTGCTATGGTTAATTTTTTGCCACTCCAAAAATGATTTTCGCTGACCAGAAAGCTCTATAGACTTGGAATTTTGAGCCATCGAGATAGTACTGTCATCAATCTATTCATAAGTTCTAAAGTCAGTTGGTGAACGTTGCATCAAACGCAACGTTCACCAGCTGATCTTGCCTTATGTGCTCAGATAATTATCGGAATTGGAAGTTGCGAAGCGTAAATTTTTGGGCCTCAAAAAGCATACTCAAACTACCAAGGTTTATACATATTATCATACCTCTTGCATCTGAAAGGACTAACTTTATTCCTAGTCTTTCTCCATGCTGTGCTTCAACTCAACCGTTTCTCGCTCTCTGCAATTTTCACACAACATTTATGTTGTACGATATTATGTCAATGATAGTGTAGCGTTTTGAACTATTGTATGGATCTCTTTCTTCCTAATTTTCTCCCTTTTTTCCTACTATCAAATCTCGCTAACTTGTTCAACGATTAATCTTGGTAGCATCTGTTGCAGCTTTTTTTCCCCTCCTTTTCGCTACGTAATACATAACGAGAACTTATCGAGTAACCAGTCAATTTCTGTCTGCATGACTTCATAGTGCTGAGTTTTGATTTTCCATTTTTTGCACTATTTTGAATTCAGACAAAGAGGGTCGAATCTTACGTTACAATTTCTTCCTCTAAGCTAGTCTGGTCAACTATTTTCAAAATTTTGACTATTCTTTGGCAGATAGACATGTATCTGCGCTTAAACCTACAAAATTTATCTGAACTGGCAAATTACAATCTTTTTGAACAAGCGAAATAATCAGGCAGATTAAAATCTCTGAATGCTCTCAAAATTACTAAACTATGATGCTTTGCGGAAATTTGATCTAGTGATATTCTCCTAATTGTCTGTTACTTGATGTTAGCAAGAATTATGTATAAAGTACGAGCTTTGAAAATCTTTTCTGAGCAACACCTGTGGCATTGCATTGCTTCAGCCCAACCTATTGCGTCGAGTCTACAAAAGGTTGCCGGACCTTTGAATTGTTCTCGTCATGCTATCGACCCTCGCTTCAATGGAGGAAAGATAAAAGACAACGTTGCCAAAGTTATTCAAAGGTACGCTTTGCCTAGGTCTGACTGCATCTACTACCTTTTTTTCAGATTTGTGGCTACAGCTGTGTCTCAGTGGTTTAGTAGAGAATTACGCTTGATACCCTTGTCACAAGAGTCTGCGGAACATTTGAGTCGAACCTTGTCAAAATGTAAATCATTTTTTTTTCCGGCAATGCAGATGTCTTGATTTGTAGCTGATGATTTTTAGATGAAATGTCAAATGTAGACGTAAACTTCGTCAATCTACAAATTATTGCGAATGCAGTCGACGCTATAGCTGAAACTGTTTCAGAACTGCCAGCGGATGAGGATGAGGTATTTACTCACAAAAAAAGCACTTTTGATGTCATTATTTTCCAGGTGTTCATGGTTTGCCTTCGACTTCTCCTTTTCGTTGTGGCTGCCCGTAAACCACTAGATGCACGCACGGGATGTGCACTTCTTTATATTGCATGGGAGCAAGTCCAGCGTGTGATGCTGAAACATAGGTTAGTACCAGTCATTAAGTTCCATGAGGCGGCATCTTTGTGGTGTCTAGAAAACTTGAACGTGGCGTTCCATTGCATAGAAATTCTCCGTATCCATAAAACATTACAAAATAATTCTTTTCATTTATATTTCATTTCTGAATGAAAGTCTTCTTGCTGAAACATGTCGAATTCAACGGTGGTTAGAAGAAATTGGTTAATTGCTCCGCTCTGTTTTTCCAGAGACCGTCGAAAATGTTGTGTAGGAATCTTCTAGATCTTCAAAGCAAATGCGAACACTTACAATGGGTGTGGCACGCTAAAATCTTCTGTTTCCCATAATCCCAACGAAAATCGTATTTAAAAGCAGGATGAGATGGTCATTTGTCTTTAGTTCAAAAAAAATTGTCGGATTGTTTTTGTCGTTTTTGCTTCCGTTATTTTTAGGAATTTATCAACAGCTGAAGCTAGATCCACATGCGGATGTGTTCAAATCCTTTTCTTCAGATGCACTCCCATCTTGAAAATAGCTCAACAGATGAACAAGGGATGGTCGCTGGATGCCTATCAACGCTTTGTGGACGATTATTTGCCGTTGTATGAGAAGCATCGACTAGTTGATCCGTTTGCTAGCAATGAAGAGTGCCAGAGGTAGATCTTTTGGGATTTCTAGTGGACGGCATTTGCTAGCGCTCATCTCTAGATTTGCCTCCATAATCAACTTCAAACCGAGCGATGGAATGGATGTCGACAAAATTGTACCACCTACGGAAGATGAGGATGTAGTATTCACGCAAAAGCCTTCTCCGATCGCCAACACCTTGCATTTGAGTGCACTTATGAAGAAATTGCATGCTTTCCTTGCTACAGGAGCGTTCGATTCGGTGCGAGTTTGCCCATTTCTTCACTAAAAGATTTATGGACGTCGCTTCAGGATGAAAAGATATTTGATGGTCAACAGGCATTGATAGCTTTGAACTGGAAGTCAGATTCGTGTAGAAAAGCTGCTCAGAATGTGGCAGTTTTGAACAACGAATATCTCGATGGCAACAAGGTGCCCCACAGCTTTATTTTCCTGCTTAGTTTACAAGGTAATATTTGCAGGTTTCTTGGCTGAGATTCAGCGGTGCTTTCGCAACTGTCTTGCTCTCTTTCTGGCAAGGCATTGATTTTGATCCAACAATGAGAGCTTTGGCGGCATCACATCTGTCCCAGTTTGAATTGAACTCGCTGGCAAAGCAGCTATGGCATTTGGCACCAAATTCTGCACGACTTACAGGACTGATATCGTAAGTAGACGTCGATTAATTTCATTTTTCAAAATGAATTTTCTTTTAGAAAGCAGCTTGGATCTCTACCTTCCTGCGTTTCACCTTGGTGTCCTGGTCAGGAGAACTGTCAAGGATGGACTAAGGCTCTGGATTCGGCCATTAAAGTGATGGAAAATGTGAGTTTTTTTTTTCAAATCACAGTTTTAGATAAATGCGCTACGTTTAGGCACTGCCACCTCCCGAAACATTAGATCCTGTCGTATTTAATGAGCAAAGAGCCAACTACCGATCATTAGCGCACAGTGCGGTCAGCAAACCTCTGTCAGTGCTAGCAGAGTGGCGAAAGAGAGTGTCCGGGTAAGTTGGTCGGTCGAATTGTGCGGAAACGAAATGAGCATCCAGAATTTCATGCATTACCGTGCTATGACTATTGTAGTTTAATGTTCTTCAGTGGCCCAATTATCGGGGGAAGGGGGAGGGGTACTCGTTAACTTTTCACCAAGAAGGATTATTTTTTCGTCGGCCTTGGCAAATTCTTTTTCAGATTTCAAGATATGCTAGTGAATTATTCGAAAGGTCCCAAAAAAGTTTTCGGACGAGGGAGGAGGGGAGGGGGGGGGGGGAAGAGGCTAATGTCGCCCCCCTTCATTCATTTCTGTGGCCATCTCGTCCCTTCTGGAGAAAACCGCCACGTGTCCTTGTATGGAACTCATAGATTTCAGTTCTATTGCTAGCCCGTAGATCATAAAGCTCAAAATTGCGATAGGGCATAAAATATTTAATAAAAGCTAAATGGGAAAGAAAGAAAGTTTCTCTTGATTAGTCAGATGAAGTCTGGCAGTTACAATCAAAGAGATTCGTCCTTCTCTATCCAGTGCATCTCCTAGCTTGTAAGTATATTTTCACAGTAGTATCAAAATTTTACTCTAAGTTACTTGAAAAGTTCTGTGCAGTTTCTCCATCAACGACCAGTCTTCTTGCTTAGAGTTCGAATCTGTTGTACCTTACAGGCAACCGGCTGAGTGTGATTCGCGGTCTCCACACCCCGTCATAGCTGCAATTTGGCGCGCTCGTCAAGAATTGGAAGAGAATAATATTGACTCGAATCTACCCCATGTTTTTCGTCAGAAGTCCAGTCAAGTACGAATTCCTCTAATCAGCATTCAAGTACAGCTGAACATTCAACTTTCTAGTATTCGGCTTTGTGCAGCGAAATGAGATCGTTTTTGGGAGTGGCATGCAGTGTGACTCCAATGCTTCGAAAGGTACTCAGTGATGTCGAAAACTTAGGGAAGGAGTGGGATTCTTCCCAGCTCCAGTTAGTTCTGGCTCAACTCAAGTCGTTTGCTATGAGCGCTGTTAGTTTTAAGCAGGTGAGCCGAGTCCATGTGTATGGAGTTAACTTCTTGACTTAATATTATTCATTTAACTTTCTCTTTTTCCTTCTTCCTCAAATCTGCTGAATGTTTAGAAACTTCTGGACAAATTCGCGTCATTTGTGGATATCTCAGTGACATTCTTACACGCCCTTGACATCTTCGTATGTGCATTATATGAAGCTTGTGGCATCATGGAGACAGTTGAACGACGTCGGGAACTGCAAATCAGCACTGACTTCCCCATCAATTTCCAGGCAAGATTAGGAACTTATCGAAATCTATAATAGTACGGGGTGAACATCACGGCCAAGACGAACTTTTGGATCTCTGTAAAGCGTTACCGATAGGTGAAGCTGATCTTTCCCTTTCTGGTTTTCGGGCATTTGGTAGAAGAATTTTAGGGTAGAGTCTTACATGTGATCTTCAAACCGAAGAACTTTCCCACATACTGAAAAAACGGGGAATCATTATCTTATGGTTTAATGGTATTTCAAGAATGAGATGCTATTTCGGTTATAGAGCTCCATAAAAAAAATAGCATCTTTTTCACAATTCTTCTGTATTCAAAGAGCTGAGTAGTTGCTACAAGATGAATCTCTTTTGAAAAAGTGAACATTGACGCTTAGAATTCTTTAGACATTCTTCAACTGTTATCATTATACTCGTAAAAATAGAACTGATGTTACTGACAAATGCTGCTCTAAATTCAGCTCACGCTGTCCGAGGAAGGATTACAGAGCCCAGAATTGCTCTCTTGGGCTTCCCGCGATGCTTCACCCATGCCACTCCGTTTGAAAGCAGCTGTGGTACGACATAGAGTTTCTATTGGCATTGACCCTGTGTCTGACTTGGAATGGACGAGACATCAGTGGCAAAAATGGTCAGTGTACATAAGCATATTCTTTCATATAAGAAGAGTTTGCAGGTATGAGAAGAACATAGCGCGAGCTGCGGAGAAAGATTTTGTCTACAAGAACAAAACCGAAGAGGAAAAGGATGAGCTGGAAATTGAAGAATTCTTCTCTGAAGTGAGTTCCTCCATTTTCAAACCTATACCAAACCGTAGTGCTAATTGTGTGTATTTCAGTACCAACAAGACCGTGAAATCCTACTAGAAGATGATTTGGTATCCCTGTTAAAGGCAAGCTTCGCCGCTTCCACTCGTAAGGAAGATCTCATGGACACAAACTACCGCATAGCTTTGGTATGGATACAACATATTCTCTGTGGCTTGCGTTACTTCGAGCAGGATTTGCATGCTGCAACAACCGGTGGGTTTTTGTTTCAGAAATCAGAACTGATCACGAAGTAATATGATGCAATGACCAGAAAAGTATTGTACCATGCGGTTCGTTCCATAACGAATGATGTGGGATTTGTCCGCTATGGGGAATTATGAAGACTTTTTTGCCTTTCCTTCTGGTTTTTTGCTTGAAAATGTTTGCATAGGACTTACAATAGGGCTGTAGTATGCGCTAATGGACGGGAAATTATATTCGAACAGTTATTAACACTCACAAATCGACTCTGTGTACAAATTTTTTTCGTTGGTTGCGCCCTCCAAAAATCAGCGATTTGATTGTATTTGTCTGCGATATGCCAATCGTAGCCTTACCTATGTTATTTATTAACACCGTTGAGATTTGGGCACTGAAGTCATGCAATCTTCTTCAATTTTTGCAAATTGCAGACTGATGGGGCGAATTCAAATTGGAAATTACCGGTTATCTTGCTTAAACAGTGTATCGTCCCGTTAAATTGTTATTTTATCCATTCATCACGCTTGTAATACACACCCACCAAATGCAAAAGGGGAAAGGCTACAATCAAGGATTGATCACGTTGTGCTTTGCTGGAAAGACCTATTTTGTAGTCCCCAGAAAAAGGTTATTCTCGTTACATGTTTTCTAATACTTATTGACGGTATCTAATTTGACGGTGGTAAATAGAATCTTAACTATAAAGAGTCGAATGACCGTTAACTATCATCGTGCGCCACCGTCCTCAGTCTCTTTTCGAAAAGGCTGCCAGAAAGTGCATATGCTCCTAGATCAAAAAAAAGGTTTGCTCGTTGAATGATATAACATACTAAAAACAGTATAGTCATTTCCAATTCTCCAATCAATATTTACTCTGTAATCAAACTTTCAGATTCCAATCTCACTTTGGTGAAAGAGCTGATCTCACGCATCGACTCGGATAATGATGCTGTAGTAGATGTATATCGCGCAGCATCTTTACAGCAGTGCCGACGAGCTGCTGCCATTCTCGAAAAACTTGCCGAACGCACAAAAATCATCAGAGAACGCTGGCCAGAGGTTCCTACGCCTAAACCATGACTCCGTTTATTATTCGTGAAGCATCTGATTTTAGCATGTCTCACTGAAGCTAATTCTGGAGGCCATTAACGACTTCAAGAATGCTGGCTTATCTACATCTCACATGAAGATGGCCACACTTGTCGAGCACATAATCGGTATCTTTCACACTTCAAACATATTTCATTGAATGTCGGTATTCATAAATTCACATCAGAACAATCTGAGGAATGGGAAAAAATGGCCGACAGAGCCAACTCCCTACGCAGTGAGCTAAATGACGTTCGCGAACTTCTTGTCGATTGGAAAAAGATGGAGGTAGGCTTGCGTCCGCGAGGCAATCGACTTCCCTTATCTGCAACAACTTTAGGTCCGGTCGTGGGCAGAATTACTGAATCGAACAGAAAATGATGCGCAAGCCAGCGCCTTGCTTGTTGCTTTCCCTCTATTCGATGCTCTATTCAAAGCCGATAGTTCGTCTTTCACCTCTACTGTTCGCTAGATTCCAGAAAGGGTAATTCTTTCCTAGATGTGGAATCCTCTACTGCGCTTTGCGCTATGGCAACGGAATGGATTACAAATGCTACCTTGTTGGATTACAAAACTCGGATCGAAACAGTCCGCTGCCTCTCCAACTGGGCTGCCTCACTTGGGAAGTCTTTATTAGGATCCAAACTGGGCTCAATTGCTGCACACTTTAAACAGTACTTGGAGATTGTGGAGCAGAGACTGAAGGAAGCTAGGTTTGTTAAATGCCGGGTGGAAAAGCCTTTCTTGCTTGCTTCTCCCTAAAAAATCGTTGAATTTTTCTTTTCAGAGAACCAGCCGAAAGAAGTCTGAAAGACTATGTAAAGATTGTGAAGTACAACGACTTGAATCTTTGGAACATCAAAGTGTCGTCTCAGAAAGCACATACACATCTTTTCAAAATTGTTCGCAAGTTCAAGGTCTTTAATTTGTTGCAAATTCATTACCCGCGAGCTTACACTAACACTTTATTCCATACTTTTCAGGAATACGTCAGCCTCCCAGTCGCAGAATATTTCGATGTGCTTATCCAGCCAAATATGTCAGTTGCTTTGAAGACTGTCAATTTGTCAGAGGCTAACTTAGAAGGGCGAGTACGTAGGGCGAAGCAGTTAGCCAGTGATATCGTTACTCAAGGTAAGCCTGGTAGGACCTCATGTCACAAACAGATGATTAACGATTTAGCTGAGAATTTGTGCGACACTTCAAGCGCTTTGGAATTGATGGAACAAACGAAATCTTGTGATGAGATGATCAAGGTGCAGATCGATTACCAAGGAGAGGATGCAGAAAAGGTAACGATAACTCTCTTGAAATACAAAGCAATTTGGTTGCTGCATAAATAGAGCTCTATGAAAAAAACGAGCATGATTTTGGCGATAGTTACTTCAGCTTTTTTTATTCTGTTTTTGAATTAGCGAGAAGATCGTTCAGTTCAGATATGTATTTTGGTTGAGGGCGGATACAGTTTCGTGAGCTCTTTTTTCTAGGAAAAACAGCAAGGATATGCGCGAAACTCTAGACAACGAGCAGTAGCTATGGTCATAAAAGAGTCGCAGTCCATTGGATTAAATGCTCGCAAAGCTGTTACGCTAAATCAGGAGCAACTCACGGAAAGTTCATTGACGGAAGTGCAAGAAGGACGAGGCTTGGAGGTAAAGTTGTTATGTCTCAGTCCGATGGATCTGAAGTCTGTGTCTAGACTTCTGTTCGCAACTGCGCGGGCGGACGAAACGCGTGTTTGCGAAAAGCTGTTGCGCCAAACGATCAGCTGGGTGTCGCAACGCGAAGACATCTTATTGGTGTTGTTGGTTAGTTTTATGCAAAAAAGGAAACAAAAACAAAGATCACTCTAGGCTTACTTTAGACTACGGTATGGCCTGGATCCTCAAGTGTCACAAAAATCTGGCGCTGTGGGAAGAGTCTTCGGAAGGCTTGGTTGGCAATCTGGAAGCCTTGAAGCGACTGCAGGCAAATGTGAAGGTATTTCCTCTTTCTTTCTGCCAGATTGCACAGAATTTAGCTTTGCGTTTTAATTCAAGTAACCTTTACAACGGTAGAAATCAGGTAATGGTCATCTAGGCTGACTGGTATGTCGACCACGAGCGTTTGTCAGAGTCTTGGGAGAAAATCCAAGCGCAAACAGGGGAGCTTCTGCGACTTACCAATGCTATGCATTCACGATTGACAGACGTCCCTGCGCGAGAAGAGTTCGACAATGGTAATGCGAGTTTTTGCTCGCATTTTGAGCTTGTCTGTATTTTATCATATCTAGAACCACCTGCGTTTGAGCATCCGCTAGCGCGACTTCACTCAGAAAGTCCTGAACTAGTCGAGCTGCGAAAAGCTGTTGCTGAAGCAAATAAAATCTGCCGAGAGATGCACGAGAGTGCTATAAAAATGTGTGCTGATCGTCAGGTGGAAATCTACGAAGGGTACGTTTGAATCCTTTACTTTTTGATAACATGATAGATTGCTGCAGTTGTTATTTCTCACTAAATCGAGAAACTCATCTGATAATATCTCGAAATCACACGTTCTATCAATTGCAAAACTCATTTTCGTAACTGCTGAGTTAACAGTAGGCATGCCGGAAGTACTCTTTGATCCAACTGGCTTGGCGGTTGGAGGGGGGGGGGGCTTCGTGTCCTGATTAAGGCTAGGTAATGATCAGAGAGCGCGCGTGCGGTGGAGACGCAGACTGCGTCGCGGACGCGAGTGGCAAAGGCCTCCTTCCAGCCGCCAAGCCATTTGAATCAAAGGTTACAGGTGATCATTATACCAGGAAGAGACAAACTCGTGCGCAACTGAAAGCTCTAAAAACTTTCAAAGCATCAAAGGCACCCTAAAAGTTAGAGTTCTTGAGCTTTTGACAGTATACAGGTAGTAGGACCCTTTACAAGCCAATGCTCAAGTTGCGACTCAAAATGTCGGTTCGGAAGCCAGAAAATCGCTCTGGAACAACGAGGAGAACAGAGGACCCCTAGACGGTAACCCCCCCCCCCCCTTCCACTAATGCTCGGTAGTCAAAAATCTGGGTGGACGGTACCTTTGAGCCGCTCTTCAGATGGAAAGAGGAATTGTTACGCTTTTGATATGCACATCCTCAATATTATATTGATTTATTACTCTGCTTTCTCCTTTCTGACACAACTACAGTATATCGCCCCACACATTATATCGTCAGTGTATTATACTCATAATCATGCCCCCCTCTTTCCTCGTCATTCGTCTTTCCCATAGGAGCTGATTTCTTCAGAGAATCAGTCATATCGTCAATGGAGAATCTTCGTTCAAATGCTGATACACTGAAGAATAGCGTCAGCACGCTACGAGATTATTTCGAGTATGAAACAACAAAAATCGAGGAGATTCGAGTGAATCTGGATTCTATGCTCAAGGTAGAAGAAACCTTTTTTTTTGCAGCAGTTCATATCGAAATCACTCGTCTACAGGTTGATAGGATTGAAACACGAACGGTTGCTGTGTCGATTGATGACGCGCTTCTTTTTATACAAGGTCTCTACAAATCCCTGAGTGACACGCAAAAGTCAAGTTTTACTGAAATGAAGCTAATGGATCGATTTGAGCTGCTTGTCAATCTTATGTCTGTTGCCGATTTGAAAAAGGTACTAGTGACCATTTTGTTATTTTCTCGAAGTTACCTCTTATATTCGTTCAGATTAACACCTGGATTACATCAATAATCACGAATGCCAAAGTTGGCATTTTGCCAGAGATGTTGGATGATCTCATCTGCGTTGTGGAGATCCTTACTTTCTTAGTTGACAACTGGAGCCGAAATACTTCACAAGCCTTGCAGTCGTTCTCGCTTCTCTACCATGCAATTCTCTCCATGAGTATGCAGCTTTTTGAGAAGGTTGGTCAGCAAAAGGCGGTGTGTGAACACTAGTTCCCATTTTTTTTTCTTGATTCTGGTACTTCCTTGAATTTCTTCCACGTTTCAGGGTTATGTGAATCCAATACCGAAGGCAGAAAAGCAGGAATCTGGCCAAGGAGAGTCTGAAACTGGCGAAGGTACGCTTTCGCTGTTTTCTAGTCAGTCAACATTGCTTGTTTTTGCAGGCGGAGGCATGGGCGAAGGAGAGGCGAAAGGAGATGCGAAAGATGTCACAGATGAAATGGAAGAGAGCGGACAGATTGAAGGGCTTCAAAATGAAGAGCAAGAACCTCCTACTGGTGACGCCGGTCAAAATGAGAAGCCGATTGATATGGATGAGGTTAGTCTTTGCTAAAGTTCATATTGGCATTTTTGCAAAACTGTAAAACTTTTGTGCGGATGTTTTGATATCTCTTTCTCCGAATTTCCTTTTTTTTTTCAGGATTTTGCTGAAGATCTGCAAGACATTGATCGTAATGAGAAAGGAGATGATGCTAACTCTGGCGAAGAAAGTGAAGAAGAGGCAGAACCTGAAGACAAGATGGGTGAAGTAAGTCATCGGAATGTTTTGACAATAAATATATGGAGCACTCAGGTCGATGACGCCGAAGACCAGCAGCTTGATCCAAAACTATGGGATGAAGAAGAAAAGGACAAGGAGAACAAGGAGATGGATCAAGACAGTGCAGGTAACTGAACAGTTTACGAGATTACCTTTTTCGAAATATGATGCAAATTTTCAGCGGCTGAAAATAAAACTGATGAGTTGGCAGCGAAGGACGATAGTGCAGTTGTAGCAGATGAGGGAAAAACAGAGGAAGGAAATGATGAAGGCAATGATGATGAGACTGTTAAAAACGATGTTGAAAATGTCGACGAACGTGAAGTAGAGCAAGATGCTGAGGACATGGATGCTGGAGAAGACGATCAAAAGTTAGTTGTTGTTTTCTAGCCAGATGATGGATGCCTGTTTTGTTGCTTATATTTTCCACATAATATCGATTCTGTAAAAAAACACCCTTTTCAGAATGGAAGAAAGCAAAGAGGAGGTAACAGACGAGGTAGCGCCTACAGAAGAAGAGCATGCTGAAGGGGATGTGACTGACGAAGAAGACGCTGACAACAACCCTATTGAAAATGAGAACCTAGAGGAGGAGGTATCTGCCAAGGAATTGTCCAGAGAAAAATGCTGTGTTTTCTGCTTCCAGTGATGGAAGAAAAATTTTTTTTTTGCGGAGCAGAAATCTTCTGCAGAATGAAGGGGGAGGGGGGGGGGGGAGCTCGCTGCACCTCAGAGCACTTTCGGAAAGCTTTTTGAATTTTTCGAAGTGTAAAAGTTTTATAATAATAGTAGATTCTAAAGAGTTTGAAAAAAATTACAGCAAAAAAGATTCCTGTATGTCCATGGCTCACCTCACTTTCACTTCGCTGCTTATTCTCCATCTCCTCCCCCTCCCCCGCCCCTTTCTTCCCTTGTATTCTCTGATTTTTTTTTTGTTTTAATGGCAAACTGCTCTATGGATTTTGTAAATTAACTTGCGCATCACTGACTTTTTTATCGGTCCCTTTTCGCGCTTCAGGCTGAACCAGATGGCGCTAACAAGAACGTCGATAATGCAGATGAAGACAATTCGGAAGAGAAAATGGATGAAGCTGAAGCTGTAGAGCAAGGTTCTGGAGGGCATCAGAAAGAAAACGATAATAAGGAGAACGAGAATGGAGGCGTCAATGAAGAGGATGAAAATGAAAAGGAAGAAAACGGCAAGGGACAAAAGTGAGTTGTTGGACACATCGCTCTTCCACACTTACCACATTTTTTTTCTAGTAAAAGCGATAATCGTGGCGAGGAAGGTAAAGGCGCTGAAGCAGAGAAGGAAAAGACTGCAGACGAGAAGGATGATGAAGAATCTGCTGAGGAGGACGAGAATGTAGAAAACAAGCGCGAACTTGCTCAAAGTGATAAAACTGCTGAAGAAGAGAAGCAAGGTGAAGGTGAAGAAGATCAAATGGGAAAGGATATGCATGACGCACCCATGGCAGAACGAGAGGTATTTTTCTTTTTCACTTTTTTTGAATGTCCTTACTTTATCATTTTAGATGGTTGGGGCTGGATCCTTAGAAGAAGCTAGAGAGTCCAAGAAAACAGATACAGAACGAAAACCAACTGAAAGAAAACGACGAAAAATAGGAGCAGACGAAGCTGCTGATGCACCTATAGAACATGATGATACTGCTGCCGAAGAACAACAAGCTTCTATACATCTGGCACCAGATCAAATGTTTAACTTGGCGAGTGTCATTCGTTTTTTTTTGTAGAACCATTTTAATTGTGGTAAATGCGCTTTCCAGATAGAGGAAATGACCAAAGATCTCACACTTGGTACAAGAGAGCAAAATGATCTGAAGCAAGATAGGGAAGAAGGCAGCAAACCTAGTCAGGATCCCGCTGAGGCCAAACAGCAATGGCTTAAAATGAGTCAGACCGTTAGCATGCTCGCTGCTGAACTTGCCGAAAACCTGCGCTTGATTCTCGAACCTCAGCGAGCTAGCAAAATGCAGTAAGTCTCAATCGTTATACTGTAACTTCACTCAAAAAATTATTGAAGGGGAGACTATCGCACAGGCAAGCGACTGAATATGCGGAGGCTCATACCGTATATTGCAAGTGAATACAGAAAAGACAGGATATGGATGCGAAGAACGAAGAAAGCTCAGCGAGACTATCAAGTAACAACAATTTTTTAATTTTTTTTAGTCCGCGATTTTTTTTCACAAGTCACGCAGTGGCCTGAATTGCAATTCACTTTTTTTTTACTATTTTGATACTACATATTTAGGTTGTTATCGCTGTCGATGACTCAGCAAGTATGAACGAAAATGGAGTGCGCGAGGTAATTACTTCGCTAAGTGAATCAGTAATTTATCTCACAAAAAAAAACATGTCATGTCAAAGTCAACTGCCTCCTATTGGACTATTTCAGTTGCGTGCTCCTGTTCTTTTTAGATTCGGTATTTTTCCTGTAAAAGTGAAGCAAAATATTGCAAGTCCTATAGCCTTCATCTAAAAAAAATTTTGTTTAGGTTACATGTGCATCGGCTTGTGTGATTGAGGATGCGCTGCGACGATGTGACGCTGGAGGTGTTTCCGTATGCTCATTCGGTAGTGATGTTAGAGTTATAAACGCATTCGGTGATAACATGATGCTTGGCCCGGAGTTGTTGCAAAAGGTAAAATTTTGAGAATGAGCTTGTTCAAACTTCATTTTTTCCTGTTCAGCTTTCTTTCGACCAATCGTCTACTGATCTCGTTCTACTCTTGAAACATGCTAAACAAATGCTCTACAATGTGAGAACACCAACCAGTGAGCAACTACTTATAATCATCTCGGACGGACGAGGAGCGCTGGCGCAAGGAGCGGACAAGGTGAGTTGCACAGAAAGTACAGTACTGAGAGAATATCCGGAAATGGGACTAAGAATGGAAAAGAACAAAGCTTATCAAACTTCAAGAAGGCAGTAAAGCCAACTGTAAAATTCAGACCTACATACGAAATCCATGAGAGATGGATTAAGACAAGATTCAAGATCTGAAAAAATACACTTTGAATATATTACTTATACTCTTTGCTTGCAGATCAAGACCGCTTTGTCGGCGCTTCAAGGTGTAACTGTCCTGTTTGTTATACTAGATTCTGGCCCAAAATCAATCACTGATCTGTCAGTGGCTTCTTTCCAAGGAGGAGATGTGGTACGGCAATTTTTTCAGCTTTGTTCTACCGTAACTGGTCCTTATTATAGACGCTGACGCCGTATCTAGCAGTCTTTCCTTTCCCATTCTACACTATTATCAAGAAAATTAGCCAGCTGCCTCCTGTTTTGACGGAGTCTATACGGCAGTGGTTTGAGATGACGGTACGTACTAACTCTATCTGATTAAATTTTAATTAAAATTTTTATTATGCGCTACTAGGTTTTCTTTGTTGAGTTTGATTGTTATTTTACGCTGTACATTGGATTGTTAATTGTTGCTTCCATTGTTGATCTTTTATTGTTGAAAGTGAAATATTTATCGGAATTATTCAAGAAAAGTCATGCTTTCGTTTTTGCTACGAGTCTCTTTTTTGACGTAGCTGCTTTTAAACGGGACGGTAATGTAGCTCTGCGGAGGATTTCGCCTACGTCAACAACATGCTCAAGATGTACATATCTACAAATTATCATTGATAGCATCATTTGGTGGGAATAGGCACGCACCTCAGATGTCGGCCACAAACAAAAAATTCTTCAAATTTACTTGCTTGTCGAGCTCGTATCAATACGGCGTTGCGAATTCTCAAGTTTAGATAGCGATCACATTCAGTCAGTTTACCTGTAAATAACGAAAGCGTTTAGAAAAGTGGAAAGAAAATGAAGGTTACATACTGAAAAGATAAAAATCTTGGAGATAGTGGAATTATAAACGATGGCACGCAGAGACCAAGCGCGCTGCGTCCGACTAAGTTCGTATTTGGTAAAGGCAGCAGACAGTTTGCATAGATGGAAGAGCTCGTGATGAGAAATGTGCTGATGAGGTTTGATTACCTCCTCCCCAACCCGATTCCAACCCTGCTTAGCCCTTCTTCTTTACCTATGCAAAACTTTCATTCACCTATTGCAATGGTTCCAGCTCGAAGTTCTGCATACACTTTCATACCCACTAGGCCTTGCACGAAAGTAACAAGTCCATTTGTCCTGAATCGTTCTTCTGCAGTTTTCATTTGAAAATGTTCACTGCTAAAACAAATGTATATAGCGGGAAGACCAATTTCTAACTCTATATAAGGATGTTAACGACATTCAACATGTTTTGGTCAGATGATGAAATTGACTTTATACGAAAACAATGGGACAATCAGATATACGAAAGACGGAGGCAAAAAACGACCTCATTAAGAATCGAGACTTATCTAGTCGATATCTAAGAATTTGTACAAATTTGCTAAAACAAATAATTGGCTTTTAGAACAACACAAATGCACTGCGAATGCAAACAACAATAAAAAGTGACAAGAAATATTATGAGATTCCGAAGATTTACGCATTAGATGCAACAAAACAACGAGCTGACTTAGACTCAGTATCACATTTCTTGCTATAATACATATGTTCATGCTATACATGCTACAAGCCAATATGCAAAACAAACATTTTGACGTCCAAAATACAAAAGACGAAGAAAGAGAATTCTAGCGTCAAACTATACCCATTCCTCTGCTCTCCATATCGCTATCGAATAACTATTGCTTAGCGGAGTCGGAGTTACAAAACGATGTGATAAGCTTCTGCAGTAAGGAACGAATAGCAGTAGCTCATCTAGGCTTACAAGCTGAACTAACCTATACCCTCTGCCGACGGTGACGACAACCGCTGTTGTCTGCCCAGGCGAGGGAGCAGGACTACCGCGAATACGTTCAAGTGTTTCACTCACTCTTTCTTTCACCCAGGTCAAACCGCTTTCTGACGATGTAGTACTGAGAGTAGTTCGCACTAAAATATGTGATCTATGATTTTCACAAACCAAAGAATCGATGTTGCAAAAAAAGGAAAAAATAAAGAAAATGATACCTTTTGAGACGACATCGTCATCACGAGGTCCCTCCACAACACAAAGTGAAGTCAATTCACCACCATAAGGTCTACATGCCGAGAGCGGTTGCATCTGAAGAATGTATGACATGATTGGGAGTCACCAGTCCCGAGGGCACTCACCAATAAAGCATTTGCAACAACAAGCAGACCGTGATTGGTCCCTATATACAGTTGAGCACCTTCTGTGCTTTCGAGGAGTGCTAAGCACGTCACCACATTCTCCTCAGCTAGTTCAACATCCAAGGTGTGGATTGTTTCGCTACCTGAACTGCTAGATGTACCCTCTCAACTACAACGATGTGCGAAGAGCAAATCCTTTGACATAAGATGAACTTATCGTCGGAACTTATCGTCGGAACCTCTACAGAATATGCAAGATAAAAATCGTACACACCTGGCATCACCTTCCTGATGTCAAGAGATGAACAGATTTGACGCCGTTCAACATCGTAACAGAAGACTCGAGACCCTTAAGTTACAACATTAGAGAACTGTACAACTATCAGAAAATATTATATAAAATATGACACAACTGAATTATCATAGGGCAAAATGAGAAGCCCGCTTATTCGTACAATGTCACCCGAAGCGCCGGTATAATGAATCAAAAAAATGTAGTTTCTAATGGCCGGAGATAAAATCATCGGTGACCACACAAAATTTAACGGACTTTTCAAAGCCTTCACAATGCATGATTTTTTCTACTGTGATATGCCCTGTGCACCCACCGCACAATCATCTCACCTCCTTCATACGTGATCCATACATTGACGCCATCTCTACTCGTTACTATATCTTTGACGGTCACACTATCGTCCGGCAGATACAGCGAAGATGAAAACGAGAACTTGTCTTCTTGACTGAGGTGGTGGATTGATATACGGCCTTCTGAGTGGCCAGTCCAAATTTGCCTGGAATGAACTCTGAATGCCCTTGGAGCCTGGCAAAATGTCGTTTGCCTACCTGCTAGAGGCCTGAACAACTACGGAAGCAGTTTTGATTGAATACGGACTTTCAAGACTTGCCAACAAGCCAACTGAATTTGATTCGCTGATACGAAGAAGTATGAGTTGGCGCTCGGTGACAAGCAGAAGGATATCCGTTCCTATCATTTCCGGAGCGCGAATCTAAAAAAATGTGGAGGCTTTCAACTGCCGGAAAATAAGTTTAGTTTGACATTTCTCAATGAGAAAGAAGGGATACCAAAAGCCAATGGATCATGTAACATGACATAATCAAAAGAAAGTTGACATCACTTACAATGGGAGCACCCAGCGATGGCAGCTTCAATCTTCCTAACTCGTGCAAGGAAGTAGCAAAAACTGTCACTTCACCATTTTCATCACAAGACCAGATAGTGTCTCTAACTCTACTAGTAAACCGTGTCCTGAAGGCGGTTTCAATCAGCTGAAAGAGAATTTTATAAATCAGTTACACATCTCGAATAGAAAAAAAATATGGGTAGAACCTTTTGATCCAGCCATCCATACTGAGTGCAACTCATGACGGTAATGTCTTTCCCTCCAAGCCACAACTGCGCTTCAAAATCGTCCGGATCGTCCACTTCATCGCCAGTGTGGTATGGCAATATGCAAGATGGAGGTAAAGCTTCTAAAGTAATATTTGATTACCGACGAAAAGAGGACATGCGTGAACAGAAACTGCTGCGCGAATCCGATTACACAAACGGTTTTCTAGTCATTAACAATAAACTAACCCTCTAGTTCACAAACATCAAGTATATGCGTAAACTCAGGTGCTGAACAATAACCGACGAGTTGCGATGATGATGGTCGACTGTCTGGCAGGGCTGCCCAACAGTGAACTGCTAGATCCAACATTGGTGACGGCACTAGTAATTCCTGAATTCAAATCACTAGAATCGATAAAAGGAAAAATTAGCGCTTACGTGAGGGAGAAACACTGGTCGAGCTCCTTCTAACAATCTTTCCTTGACATGCTCTTCACCCTCGAATGGATGTTTCAGAGTGATCAGCTCGTAGAGAAACATCCCAAAAGAGAAGCAATCGACCTTCAATAAAATGCTAACAATTAACAAGAACGTTCGTTTTGCATAGAAAGGTGCAAAAATGAAAATAGATGTGCGGAATACGAGTGAAGAAGTACGTGATAAATTCCTAAGCATCTTAAGAAATAAATCAAACCTTCTGCGTATATTCTTCTTCGCCATTGAACCGAAGTATTTCTGGAGCCATGAAACCTTCAGTGCCTCCAAATCCCTTAGCACCCCCGGATGGCATTACAGTTCGTGATATACCTTAGAAGAATTGTCATGTGATACTGAGATAGGTAACAATAAGAAACTACCATAATCTCCTAGTTTGAGTAATACATCTGTTTGTGTACCAAATGGAGGTGGAAATCGCCATGCCAAAACGTTTTCACTCTTCAAATCACGGTAGATGATGTGTGCCGAGTGCAAATATTCAAGCGCCTTCGCAACCTGGCAAATTTGGTCTATGATTTTTTACATGAAAGGTTCTTTGGTACTTACCTGCGTGACTGAATCACGGAGGACTGAGAGGCCCAGACGAGCGCCGCTTCTTCTATGACTGGCTAGAAGCTGATTGAGAGCTCCAAGAGGCGCTAGCTCAAAAATCAGTGAGAGAGGAGACACGCAAACCTGAAAAGTGGATATTTAATCGCGAGTTTTTGAAAGTATGCCGAAGAATGAATTTCACAAACCCCTATAAGGGAAACTATGTTTGAATGCCTCAGTCGACTGAGAAGATTCAGCTCCTGTCTGGAGGTGCAGTAAGCTCGCGATGCAAACTCCAAAGAGTCGCGACGCCATTTATCAGCAGCAGCCTAAAGTGAGAAAATACAGCAACAACCAAGTGCTAAATAGAAAATCCCACCTTGTATGCTGCCACTGCGGAAGGCCTAGAACCTGGTCCTGGGTTTACCGGCTCAAGCATCTTTTGAGCAACCTCACAAAGTTCTCCGCTCTGAAATTTCCATTGTATGTCTCGCTGACATATGACCGATTGTCAATGATAAATGACAGTATACATGTATAGGAACAGAAAGCTAAATACAGTCTTTGTTTGCATTCTTAGTACCTCCGAAAATAAAAGGGTGTAGTCCCATTGGAATTGTGAAAAAAAAAGTAACTCAGAACCTACTACGACATAACAACTTCTTTCATTTGATTCTAAGAAATGCAAGATGTGGCGAGACATGGACGAAGGGTAAATTAAAGTCTACTAGTTGCAACTTTTACGTGAAAAACAGAAGAATCATTTTCAGTATCATGATCGATATTCAAAAGACGTTACAGTACGCAAGTGATGAAAATGACAGAAAAGAAGGAGGGCTACCCAAGTATTTTGCCCTGCCCTGACAGTAACAGATTCATCAACACAGAGCAGAACGCCCTCTAATTACTGTTTTACATTACGGGAATTAGAACGCATAATAGACCATTCCAAGGGTACACAGCTGAGTCATACAGGTTCAGTCCATAGAAATAGTTCCTATATGGCATCTAGCAATAATTGCTACAGCTAACCAGCGCGACCTTACAATGAGTGGATTGAATGAATAAAATAAGAAGAAAAGCGAGCTGGCAAGGACAAAATGGGCACTGAACTCTTATTGTTTCGTACAGAGCTTATCCTCTACACAGGCGGAACAAGAGAGAAACAAAAAGATGAAAGATGTAAAACGGACAAGGGCTAACTGAATGAGGGAACACCCGCTTAACCAAAAAGCAACTTCTACCCATCAAGTCCTAAAAAAGAGGTCTCTCCTCATGCAGCCTTTCTTACTCTCCCCTTTCTTACCCTAACCACGTCAATCATATCGAATATAAGTGACCTTTTGATAGCGCATTTCGCAGAAGAACACTTTCCAAGCCTAAAAACTCAGAGATTCATTAAAACCATATCATCATCTTTAAACAATGGTTTTACAGTAGAGAGCCTTATACATTAGTGAAATTTGAGCCTTCTCATTGGAAGCGCTTTCATTAATAATGATGACTGCCGAAAAGAAGTAGCACTAACAAGGAAGGGTAAGAGAAGAAACAAGGAGACACACCTGCAACTTCACGGTAGCTCTGAATACAAATCCAAAAGCGCCTCTACCTAATAGACGACCACGCCTCAACTGATCAGCTGCAATAGCCAGAGAAGATTCAATGTCTACGAAAACCTGGAATGCTTTAACTGAGTTTGGCCCATTTCATTTGTAATCATACACTTACAGTGTCCGGAGCGATATCTCTCATATGTATACCTCCATGCGACGGACATTCCAGCCAACCGCTTTCACGACCTGAGATTTGCGAAAACGAATGAGAATACAGAGATGATCTGGTTCATATACCGTCTGGAACTCAAGTGCAGAAAGGGAGAAGAAGGATGAATGGTTATATTTGGAAAGAAGAAAAAGGGTAAAGACATATCTGAAATATTCTATCTCATAAAAACAAACCTGCCAGCATGCATTCTTCTATAGAAAAGCAGTGGATGACGTATAAGGTGGAGATGTCTCCTGTAGTCTTCGAGCCACGAACAGTGTGTTCACTGCAAATGAGAAGGCTGTTATCTTTATTCAGCTCACAAACGTTCATGTGATTCCCTACGTAAACGCATGCTAACCCTTTGCTATTCTTCTTGTGAGTCAGTTCTGCATCATCACGAACTTGTTGTGTTTCGGCTGCTATATCACAGGCACATTTCGAGCAGGGAACGAATCTGTTGACTAACAGGTCCCCTTCCGAAGAGTGTACAAAACGAGTGCCTATTGCGGGATACCTGAAAGGGATTATGATCAACCTGAACGATTCAAATGTGTACATACCAGTCTTCCAGCAAGGTGTCAAGCAGATCCACTACAAGAGCAAGAAGCCTAGTTGAGCCTTCGCCTTCAGTTGTGAGTGAAAATTTTCTTACATCCGCAACTATGGCACTAAAGTAGAGAACCATCAGAATTTATGATCCCTGGATATTTCGAGATGAGATCGACGCATAAAATTCACTCAGAAAGATACACAGCAAGAAAAGACTGTCTCACCTAGGCTGAGGGAAGAGCATTTCGATGAGCGCATACTGGTTGAGCGGAAATGTCCGCCAACGCTTTTGCTCATCGCGTGTTCGAAAATCCAAACAAGTGTAATCCAAATTGCGCACCTCAGCCTAAAGATAACAATAGGATACGGTTTAAAATTAAATACTCGCAGACCTGAGGGAAGAACTGCTTCAGTATAAAAACGGAATGTCCTTTGATGATGAGCTGAAAAAATTTTGTTATACAATTAATTGTTATACAGTCTTTGGAATGACCAGAAATAAACGATAAACAATTCGACAATTTCAAAGATCTATCACAGTAAGTAGAAGCCAAAAAGTAAGCAAGGGCAATCAGCACCAATATTTCATTCTGAGTCAAAAAAAGCTCAATTCAGCTGATTCCCAAAAGCAAGCTTTTGTCCAGAGTAGCTTCTTTGAGAACGCTTCTTTCCTCTCATACATATATAAAAAAACACTTTTTTCAAGAAAAGATGCCGTTATCCGAAACTTACGAGAGGCAAAGTTCCATAGGGTGCAAGATAGTCTTTCATGATTTTACCTTTTCATAAGTATTTAAAAGTTTACTGAAGAAAAAAGAGGGCAACAATTCCTCTGTAGCTGAGGAGAGTTATAGCGTTCCAGAACATAAAGCCAAGCTTTTCTCAAATTGTTAACATTTCCCGATTTCCTACCAAATGTCTGCTTTTGCCAACCTCAAGTCCTGTTTGCCAAACAATCCACTCTGCCTTGACGTGACTGTCGCATAATTCGCGAAGACGTTCAGCATCACTCTGGGAATTTGTGAAGAATACACACTCGATTGCTCGCATCACATTCTCATCTCCTATGATCCTAAAAAAGAAGGTGGAATTTTTCTGGTGAATAAAAACTATGCAAGAACCTTGTGATAAGGCGACTCCAAAAACCAGACGGGATGTAAGACATGGCATAAACTCTTCGCAATTGTTTCTCTGCCGTGTAATTGAAATTGAAGGTTGCTTCCGCTGTGGCGTCACCATTTAGCGGCTGTTGTGGAGATAATGGTGGATGTTCAACGGACCTTCAAGAGTACTGATGAAGTATTGGAAAGATTTTCAAATCAATTCTACCTCGACCAGACCCCGGTAGTACGAGTCAAAGGTTGATGGGTAACAGATTCTGGTGTTGAACGAACCGACCAAGAAACCACTTTCGCAGTTATCTACAGGGAAGTTTAATATTTGATAAACTTTGAAACTATCAAAACCCTTACTCTGACTGAAGAAGCCTGGTAATCAGCTCTAAGCCTATATTCGTCTGGTAGAAGAGATGGAACGACCAAGCAACGAGCAAGACATGGCAGAGCAAGCTCGCACTTTTGCAACAGATGAAGAAGCGCGGTACGGAGAGGGACGGTCGAGTCAAGAGAGCGAAATTGTTTCAGCAATGGCGTAAGAGCATCTTGTGATAAGACGCCAGCAGCTTTATGCGGAGATCTAAAACCATAGGGTACTACCACAATATATGCAACATGAAAATGTAAAAAAAGTGCTCAATATCTGCCATAGCTGTTCCAAGAAACACAAGAAATGCTCAAAAAAAGGTCTTCTTACCTCAAAGCTACCACAGCAGCAAGGTAATCGGCTAACCACAGAGGATCCACAAATACCAGCTGTCTCAAGCTGGCATCCTCGAAGTGGACGATTTCACCGCTGTCATGGAGAAATGTACAAGCACCGCGAAATTCGATGTCATCCCTACAACGAGATATATTCACTCCAAATCAAAGTGTCTTGCGATAGATAAATATAGATATATTAATGCGGCATCGATAGGCTAGGCACCTAAACGGTCTTCCAAATTTTTGGTTCATTCGCTGTTTCGTTCGTTCCCTGAATGACTCGAGGGTCATGACAGCTGATGAGGCGTCGCGACGCAAGTCACTGTGCATTTCACGAACGATCTGTAAGACTGATATAGATAAGTTCTCAATATGCAGCTACTGTAAATCAACCTTCAGCATAGCTATGTAGGAAGATGGTATCTGCTGATCAAGCGCACGTTCCTTTCCAATCCTTACTTCCCACGATGAGTTGTAAATTACACTAAGGAGGTTCTGAACATACGAATTTTTCCGCACATCATAAGAGTTCACGGAGATATAACCTTGATGTCATTTCTTGATTTGCCGTTGATGAATAGTAAGTCAAGAATCCTTGGCAAACCATGTTTATCTCCGTCGTTGACCATGAATCGACTTCGTATCTGCAAGTGATCAAAGGTGCAAAATAATCAAAAGACAAGCCACAGAACTATACTAGACGCGTCTGATTAGATCTTTACAGAAAGAATGTTCCTCTAATTGGATATTCATAATGGGCAACCATCAAAACTATTAGGGTGATCCAAAAGTAATGGGGCAGCTAGAGAATAAATGCAGTTTTCTCAAATAGAAAAGCTAATTGGAAGTCCAAGTTTTGGCAGATGTTAGTACATAACAAAACCTTCTGATCGAGGTCTATAGTTGGGCACTGTCACATGGCGTTAATTCTATAAGCGCTTAAAACTGAAGCTCACCACTTCAAGTAATTTTGAACTTTGAGCAGCAACGCCGCAGTAAAACAAGTGAGCCTTCCAGAGATACGTGCGCAGCAATGGGTGAGGGGACTGTCACCAAATCCACAATAGCTCGGTGGTCCCAAGGCTTTAGAACAGAAGATATAGCATCGGGTATCAGGAGACATATTACTTATTCTTTCATCAAGGTAATCAAATAAGCCCAAACTTAGCAGTTGCTTTTTGATAGTGCTTTTTAAGCTCTATCCATACATATGCAAATTACTCTGACTTTTCTCATTTTCAAAAGATTGCGTCCCAAAACATGAATTTTAGCCTGAAAATCTGCGCCAAACACCGCACTTTTTCGAATAAAGTGCCTTTTTTGTATAAAATAATGTGCAACTTTTGAATATTCAAGTAATCATTAGAAAGAGTTTGGAAAGCTCTTTCGAATGGTATGCCATATGTCGAGCGACTATCAGGTGCAGCGGCCCAAATTCGAATGGCGTTCAAAAAAGTCTGTCTGGCTTCTTCAAAGCGCCACTCGAAGAAATGTCGGTGAGGTGCTGCAAGGTGCTGTCAAGATAACCTGCGAAGGTCACTTTGTACAAAGGCGTTAAGAATGCTGGACGCTCATAGCTAATCAGAAAGAAATTTTGAAGAATGTTAAAAAAAATCAAGGTGCCCCATTACTTTTGGATCACCCTAATATTTCTTGTCATCATAATCTGAAAATGTATCTCACCTTCTTTTCGACCGAATTCAGGAAATTCTTCGAAAACTTTGTTGGATTCGAGGTAATTTGATCAACATGCGTTCCGATCAAAATCACGCAGGAGTTCGGAGCTCGAGCCTAGACTAATTTTGTGCAGCAAATAAAAGCTATAAAATTGACTCATAAGCAAGTATGAGCATGATATAAAGAGTGCTCGATTGGTTTGTAATAGGTGAAGGGCAGTAAATCGTGAGCGGAAGTTACCACGCTATTAGATAAGTACAATCTTTTTCAACCCGGAGTAGGCGAAACATCTAAGTGGAGCAGCGCGTCCGCATTACCACTGGCTCAGCGAGATAGATTAGAATGAAAAGACGCAGACTGCAAAACGGCGCGAATCGTTGCGACACGGATTCTCGCCAGTCCAATTTTCGCCTAAACTGAGTTGAAACTTACTATACCAGCATGTGGCATATGTAGCGCGCTTCCAAAATATTCCAATGTTTGGTCGGAAGACTAAGAAAAGTAGAGGAAAGCGTGCTATTAACTTTGCTGTAAGAGTAACTATCAAAGTCGCAAAAAACCGCATCACATACTGACTGGAAGTTGCACGCTTTCGTAAGAAATCAGGAAAATATGCCACACTATACCTGTATATTAATGAGCCAGCGCTGGACATCGTGAAGTGCTACTTCTCCATCAGTCACCCTCCATACAACAATATACAGAGTTCGTCGAGTAAGAAAATAGTGGTGAGTTGCATGATATTCCCTCTGCAAAGCACCGGTTATATTATCTACTATTTGGCACCCGGCACCGCCCGGCCCTGTCAATAACATATTTGTAATCAGCATGCTCGATTACCCCCCTGTGCCAACTCCCAGCCCTGTAGCTCAAATTTTGCGAAAAATCGATAAAATCGATATCGATCGACAACGAAAAGTAGCCTATGACACGCCCCCTGCCCCGAAGTATATGTGTGCCAAGTTTGGTCCCGATCGGTTCGGAAATAAAAATTTCTATTCCGCACATACGTACAGACAGACAGACAGACAGACACACATTCAGCTTTATAGATAAGATTATCAGAAACGTGATCGCAGTGTTACCTGTCCTGTGAAGTCCCAGGATGAAAACGCTACAGGACCTAGCGATGCTTCTCCCTTGACCTTCTTCGTTTCGAACTTCCACTCAGCAATCTGGACGCTTTCAGCCTGCAAAACACTTCCTATAATATTGTGCAAGCTATTTAAACGTGAACATTCTATCTTGAGACTGACGTTTACTCATACTGGTATATTATCACAACCCCTTAGATATGCCGGTAACCCCGTATTTTTCTCAAAAGACATAAATGTGGAAAGTTTTGATGGTAAAATAAACTGGCTGCTTATTCTACCATGACAGGGAAATACACAGTCGCATGGTCATTTCAAACACCTGCTGATTTTCTCGCTATAAGAGATGTTATGAAGTCTGTGACCTTGGTATGGTAAAATTGAGCACAGAGGCAAGAACAAAGGTTACAACATATTTACCTGTAACGGCGATTTCTTCTGAATAGCTTCAGAACGCAGTCCTTCCCAAAGCTGTGTTTTACCTACACCATCACTCCCCAGAATAAGCAAACGTAAGTGATGGTAAGTTTTAGACCTGAACCATGGATTTATAGCCACAAATCAGGTTTTCGACATGGTCAAGAAAAATCGCGTTATATACTCACTCTTCCAGAATGGTTTTCAAGTGAGCGACAATCTCAACAGTTTTGCAATTCTCGGTATTGACCATGGAATCGAGCGGCTCTTTGAGTTGACAGCCTTTCAATGACAGCGACCATAGTCTGCATAAGGAGAGTGATGCACTTCCGATTGAATTATTGAGAATACGTACCTCGAAAGTGTACCTAACTCTGGCGGAAGAGTTTGAATGCCTTTATTTCCACTTAGATTTAAGACTGACAACCCGGGAATTCGCGAAAGATCGGCCGTCACTGTCTTTAGAGAGTTTGCACTTACGTCCAAGACATTAAGCTGTTGGTATAGTACCTGCAAAAGTAAACTAAGAAGCCGTATTAATTGAAGGAAATGAAGGAATTCGGTTTTACAAAGTATATTCTAAAAATGGTAGCCAGCCACACTTACCTTGGACGTGATACATACGGGAATTGATTCAAGTTGATTTCCACTGATATTCAACGTTTTCAGCCATTCTAACGAATCATGCCGTTTGTGCTGACAAGCTTCTTCAAAATTTATTTCTACTGGTTGGTTGCGCGACACAGATAGGGACCGCTGCGATCGAACTGCAGATTTTGACCTGCTACCTGCAAAAAAAAATAAGGTAAATACTACAACAAAAAAGGCAACAGATAACCACTTACGGTTCTGTCGCACAGGGCTATTAGGACGACGAACGCCCAGAGGTGTTAGAGTGGTTGGGGGCACTGCGTGGCAAACGGTGTGGAATACAGTAGGTAATTGGAATCCCTCCTTAAAACATACTTTAACAACTCTAGGAAGCTCATAAGGATCCTGAGACCAATAATCAGAGAATGGTTCAAAAACTCACCCGAATTAGGTTTCCAGAAAAATCAAGTGTTCTAACATGCGCTGGAATACACTGTATAGGCGGCAATGCTACTAGCTGATTAAAGCTCATGTTCAAAGTGAGCAAACGAGGGCACGTACAAGCAAGGCAGAAAGGGAACACTTGGAACTATAACAGAGGTTATCAGAAAATAGAATAAAATTGTCCCAAACCTGACCCTATTGGCGGAAAGGTTCAATGTCGTGAGCGTGCTAGAGGACGTCACGGGAAAATCGGGGAAAAGGTCTTCATCATCGACCTGAAATACAGATTCTTCTCGTAATCCGATGTCCCTTGTTTGAAAAGTAAGAATTCTAGGATAATCCAATTATACTCATGAACTGTAACAAATTACGGATGCTTTTTGGCAAAACTGATGCTGTGTTAAGCGCATAGATGCACCAACGCTAACTTCGATATAGCAGAAATATTTTGAGTAAAATTTTGGATACCTTTGATAAGTTTATTCCTGACTGCCAGATATTCTGTCGAATTAGCGGCTTTGTGATAACGTTAGTAGGCTCTTCTACGCCATCATTGATTGCGACTACAATTCAGTAGCTTATGAGGTGCGAGATATGATAACCATATGCAATTACCATCATCTGAGCCTGCTATCGGACTAGTAGGCGTGGAGGGTTGTACACTGCGAGAAGCTCGACCAATTCTCGGCATATTTCCCACCATAGGTAAAGAATTAAGATGATTCGATGCAACATTGAGCTCCTTTAACGAGGGACACAGCCAAATGTATTCCGGCAATTGGTTGAGACAGTTACGGGAAACGTCCAAAGTGGTTAATTGAGGCAACGACGATAAAAACTGAAAGAGACATGAGCAAAGAAAACTACCACTCTGCGCCAGTGTTTCACCTGTGGAGAAATTGCCTCCAGACGGTTTTGTTTCAGATTGAGGACTTCTAGCGATGTGGAGGTAACATAAAAACCCGGCATATCTATAGTAGTAATGAGATTCTCAGCAAGATTCAGAGATCTGAACAAGTGATCTCCATTACTCAAACATGAAGAGATTGCAAAAAGACTAACCTTAAAGAAGGCATTTGGAATAATACAGCAGGGAATGTAGTTAGTCGATTACATGAAAGATCTACCCGTGTTATAGCTGCGAGAGACAACCTCAAAACAGAAGAAAAATATTAGATGCTCAAGTAATAAGCGGCAACTTACCTCGTAGTGCGAAGTCTGGGATTGACCTGCAAAGCTGCAGCAACAAACCAATCCGACTGGACAGCTTCCAGCGAAGCTGCACCCCAGCAAAGAGATGCCGCTCGTGATGGACAGAGTGAGGAAGGAAGCAGATTTTGACCAACTTGGATCTTGAAGGAAATTATACAAACGAATATTGAATTAAGTATCAACAAAGAATGTATACACAAAAGACTAGCGCACCTGTCCAACATCAATGTTCTTCTTGTTTACTTTATATTCTGGATCGGGAAAAACTAGTCGCGTTAAGAATACCCGTATAAGCTTCAAATTCTTATTCTGAAATAAGCAACATTTGTAATCATCCTCTTATAAGATACCTTATCAGCTACTCATAAAACATTGACAGAGAGACGACACACGAAATCGCAACCAAAGTACAAGCAAAACCTTTGCAGCAAGACGCAATGCCCGATTGTCGGTGTCGAGAGCTCCCATGTCATATAAGAAATGCACAATGTGAATAGCGTCAGATCGCGTAGCTTCCACTAGTGCACCAGATCCTCAAATTTTGAGCAATGAACAGGAAAATTGATTGCAAACAAACGATACAACAGACTACTTGAGATAATTCGTATTGCTAGTAAGTGAGACAGCAACGGAAAGCGATGCGAGCAGCAACTTGCTGGTACTTACCAACACAACGAGCCTCTTCGCATGTTTCCGAATCAAGAACACCCAAAGGCAGATTTACATCTGCACCCGCTTCAAGGAGCAGTCTGGAAATAGAATACTGTATGAATGAGGAGAAATGATTATAAACTCGTCCAAAAAAAGCTATAATTTTCGCTTTACATCCCGTTATACTAAATTTGATTACCAGATTTGAGACCAGAGATGAAGCTAGATGTAAGCGAAAGCTCTATGAAAGTTACAATGATACATTATGCAACTACAACAGCATGAATATAGACTTTCTATGGAGAAGTCCTATACTTACGTAAGCACCGGTAGCGACTGGTTATATGCAGCTACCATCAAAGGAGTTCTTCCTCGACTACAGTAAACATCAAGTTGAAAGGGGCACCTTGTTATTCCATCAGTGAAAGGACATCGAAACTGCAGCATGAATCGTAACAACAAGAAAAAAAAAGAGTGTAATAGACTAACCGATAGCATATATTGTAGTACTTCAGCGTGACCTTTAGCAGTTGCTCGATACAATGCCGTTCGACACTCATTGTCACCACGATTCACATCGATTGCTAGGCGATACGGCGGATGCGCAAGCAAGTCAACTTCCTTCACATACTCTTCTGGGTAAGGGAACTCAAGCAAGCTGGAAAAAATTTATGGATAAACTAGAAAGAACAAACAAGATACAGGAACTGCTTTCTGCGATGAACAATGGAGACATAATAACTAATGAACCTCTTACTTTGAAAATACATGTGAATTTGAGAATGGGATCCTCTAAGATATCCTCTATATTAAACCATATCCTTGTATTAAAATGAACAAGTTGCTTTTTACATTCTATCTTTTGAGCTATTACTTTTTCTATACAACGCGTTTCTTCAAGTGCAATCATTGAAAGGTGCTCTTTACGATAGAAGGCGGACCCAACAAAGAACTGAATGAAGGTTATACGAACTTGGAATTGCAATGGCGACTGCTGTCGCACGCAAAGATAGATTACTTTTGCATGTCCTCTCTCACGTATCTGACATCTTCTAATCCCGCAGCTAATGCATAACCCTATCTGACAATGATAGTGTTTTCGCTCGATGCCTTTTCATGTCAAATCTACGCAATTTTCCAAGGTATTGCCCGCTGATTCTTTCTTCGTTATCTGTTGTGCGCGTATGAACGCTGGTTACGAGTACTTTTAAAGAAACTAGGTGTCATGATAACTCCAGCACAGAATAGTGTCACGTTGACTATAAGCTACGGAAAGTATTCCAACGTATGGATTGCTCAGATATTTCGACATGGCTTCCTACATGATTTTGTGCCAACAACGCGTCGAGATTCTGACACAAAGAATAGATCAGCCCCGAGGGGCGCAGAGCAGATACTAAGGATGGATTTGGAATCAGCGTTTAGTGCCCTTCAAAATGATATTGGTTTCGTCTAGAAAACTCGCTTAAAAGCACTTTATGGTGAGTAACAGTTAAGTTCTTGGCTCACCCCCCCCCCTCGGAAGTCCGAACAAGATGAACTCGTTCCCTCATGTTCGAATAAAATTACTTTACGGCGACTCAAACCTTTTTCAGGCATAGAATTTTAGACCTAGCACAAAATGTGCTGCTCTGTTGCTGATGAGCCTTTTGAACATGCGTGAGAATTGTCAGCTCAGGATATTACGGATAGGATACAAGACTCGAATCAACGCAAAAAATAAACGAGAGAGAGAAACTTTCCGCTTAATAGTAACTGCTCGAAACTACGCATTTGAACTCTTACAGGTAATAGTTCCCACATCAAATTTCAAGCAATCTTTAACAAAGAAAAACAGAAGAATAGGAGAAAGAGTTTGAATAAGCATGAACATTACTGATTATATAACATTTACCATTTCACAATATCAGTGGAACCGCTTTCTGCTGCCCAATGAAGGCATGTACATCCATCACAATTTGTGTTGGCAATCAAATTTGGATAGGCCTGAAACGGTTAATGATTAGCGAGGAGCATCATCAGATATAAAAGAGCTTACCTCAAGAACGATACGCAAAACGTCGACACTTTGCGAGGAAACCGCTGCATGAAGTACGGTATCCTTGTTGATGGGATTTATTAACACGTGCTCGTTCTCAGGAGGAAGAAGATGATTAACTACTTCGGCCTGACCATTAGTGCAAGCACTAAATATTTTATGGTATACCTACGATACGCTACGAACACTTCGCGCTTCCGAAGTCGAAAATTAGCCACACTCACATGAACATTGCAGTATCGTCCTCGGGAGAACGTCCATTGAGCAAAACATGGCGATCTTTCAAAGAGAAGTCAGCCAAAATTTTATCTACAGCCGCTACATCACCTTCCGCACAAGCAATCATTAGCTGAGTATGTGCCTCATTGAGCTTGTCGTTTTCAATTTCTATAATTGAAACAAAATGATTCACAAATTTTGCACTCATCTAAAACCCAAAAAGATGAACTCACGGATGCTCTCAATTATTGCAGCAGCCACGCTGTCGTGCCCAGCCATGTGCGCTGATTCGAGGGGACAATGACCAGCTGCATCGCGACGTTCAGTGTCGGCACCGGCCTCGAGGAGTTGTCGCACTGCCGACACTTCTCCAGCTTCAGCAGCTAGGTGCAACGCAGTTTTTCCTGCGCCATTGCTTGCGTTAAGAGTATCTGAAAATACTTTTGGCGAAAGAAGTAAGGAAGAGACTTGCGAAGCTTGCTAAATTCAAAAATTGCTAAGGAGGCGCACCCGATACAATGTCTAACATGTAAATAAAATGTTTCAGCATTACCGGCCTTTTGACTCTGTGAATCCAGCTGTCCTTAAAAGCTTTCAAACACCAAGTCCCTGTTTTGGATGTGGGAAAAAGCAAAGAGCGAAGTTGACGTTTCGCCCATTTTCGTGCGACTGGATGATTGACCACTTCAACCCAAACTCTCTAACGTGAGGATGAACCAACGCCCCCCCCCCGCCGTTCCTAAACCATTCTGAAGCACAGATTTGACCTCAGCACACCCAGAAAGTTTGGGAATGATCGAGATCAAAGCTGGGCTAATAAGGCCTTGCTTGTACACACCATTCAGGACTATATGAGCTAATATGACGCCGTCCCCGGAACTTTCTTACCAGCCCAGCTTTCAATCTTCACAGTAACTATCTAAGCACACACATAGCCGGCACAAAAGCTAATACTGTCTACTTGAAGAGGCTAACCTAAGACCAATAATGCTACTCCGTTAATAAAATTCTTTTACAAAATTGAATACAAACAAAAAATATGTACCTTGACTTAGCGCCAACAAAATCCTTAAACTATCGATCCTGCCATTGTGAGCCGCCAACATCAATGGCGTCCGGCCATGTCGATCCACTCTATTTAAACTCCAGGGATTTTCGCGAACCAAATCCGTGACAAGCTCCAAATTTTCAAACAATACTGCCTAAAAAGCTCTAATTCGATAAATACGGGTAAGGTCTTGGTGACCTCAAAGTAGCTAGAAATCAAGATATCTGCAGTTGCGATTGTACACGCGCATGATCTACTTGTCGATAAACAGAAAAAAGATTACCGTTATGCCATTTGTGATTAACTTGCTGAGAAACCTTACTTGACGTAATCGCAACCACAAAGTTTTCAAGACATTGATAACGGTTTGGAGCAATAATTGTAGCGTACTGTGGATTAAGAAGTAGCAGAATACTCTACGAGTACAGCATCCATAAGGATGTATTGGCCGCAAATGCAAAGAAAAAGGAGGTTCTATAACGCATCCAATGTGCACCGCAGCATAGTTTTTGCCATGTTTTACACCAATGCACTGAACAAACAACTGGGCTCCCATCAACCCTGAGTCCAGATTCAAACATTTTATTCAGTGTCAATAGATAGCCAAACTGGTGGAATTTTTGATTTACATGAAACCTTGGGAATCTGTGCAAACGCTGCAAATTCGTTGATGCATTGCGCGCGTCGATCGAAAACATACCAGGCGACCCATATAACGAAAATAATCGGTAATTGTTGAAATGAGGAAGTCAGATACGAACTTACTTGTCTTATCAACTGCATCGTATCCGACTCGTCCACTTGCAATGGAGCATCGCTCCCGGACATCTTAATTATAGCGAGAATTATATGCAAAAACTTTGGCCCTAAAAACCCGCGAACGAATTCAGTGAGATATAGCCACACAAACCGAAAGTGAACAAAAAAGAGACTGTGATCACCCATAACGAGAGACTACAAACTTCTACACTGAAAAATTTGCAAGTGGATCGGCGGGCTGGACCATGTTTGCGCGGAGAAAGATGAGAACAAACATTTGCGCGAACGGCAAATCATGACCGCATGGTGAGCAAAGTACTTTTTTGCGGGGAAGTGCATTATTATCGACCTAACTCTCGTCTGAATGTCCTTCCGACTCACCACTATCAAACCGTGAATTCACGATTCGGGTAAAATCACGGCATAACGATCGCGAATATAATAGGGTGAGGCCACTCAGAAGTGTCAAAAACATCCTCAATAGCACGCCATTCCCGTTGCAAAGCGCAAACAAGTGAATATCGGCAGTCTCTTAGCTTCAGAAGATTGCACAATCAGAGATGATAAACGGACAAAAACTATTGAATTGCTACGTGACAATGTTATCAGTTTCTCACTGTATGCCATAATGAGCTTTCACTTTGAAAATATAAGGAGATTACTGAACTCCGATACCAAAATAATGCCTTTGATCTTTTTGAGTATTGAACATCACCTCTTCACCTCAACATTTATGCGGGCAGGAAATACATAGTCTAATGTATCCTCCTACATACTTTGAAGATGTTTGTTGCACTTTTTGTTTCAGGAACGATAAGGAACAAATCGCAAATTTTTGATAATGACAAAAAATCGACTCCAACAATCCTCGTAACCTATTATCTTCGACTGAGCGCTACCATTTAAATCAAGCCTATTTGAACGGAAACTGTAAAATTCTCACAGTTCCGCAATCAATCTTTATATTAGGTTGGCTAGAAAGTTCTTGCGTAATTCAAACAGAATCCAATAACTTTTCAATGACTAAACCTAAATTCACATTCTTGTTCTCTAAAAATATTAAAAGGCCTGCGTTCCAAGATGGATGTTTAAGCGCAAGATTTCATGAGCTAGTCCCCGAGAACGAAGCTCTCAAATATGGGACTTCAAAATTTGCAATTTTGAGTTTGGTGCCAGAAAATCGCAGAGTGTCGCTAGCTAGCCGAAAAAAATCTGTAAAAATTACTTACACTGCAGAAGTCCATAAGCTACTTTGGAAGGCTTTGATCTTGCACGGTGAAGCAAAAACAAAAAATTCGTGAAATAGTCATTTTGCGGAAAAAATCCACTCATTACCGCAGTTTTTCGGCAAAAACTATTTTTTACACTCCAAAAAACGTCGCAAAGTTCTAAATAGGCAATATGTCTTATTTCTGGTTGCAAACTGTGTTTCTGTGAAAAAATTACATCGATAAGGGGATTTATCCTGTAAGATGACAAGTTCCACAAATTTTTTGTTTTCGCATTCCCATGCGAGTTTGAAGCCTGCTAAAATAAAGTACGGGCTTTTGCAGTGTAAGTAATTTTTACAGATTTTTTTCGGCTAGCTAGCGACACTCTGCGATTTTCTGGCACCAAACTCAAAATTGCAAATTTTGAAGTCCCATATTTGAGAGCTTCGTTCTCGGGGACTAGCTCATGAAATCTTGCGCTTAAACATCCTTCTTGGAGCGCAGGCCTTCTAATATTTTTAGAGAACAAGATTGTGAATTTAGGTTTAGTCGTTGAAAAGTTATTGAATTTTGTTTGAATTACGCAAGAACTTTCCAGCCAACCTAATATTATTTATGGAATCTGACTAATATGTATAATACTATAATGCTGATCAATAGGATAATATAATAATCCAATAATATCAATAACGATAGTATGATCTGGAAGCGGAGATAAGTTCCTATGAAAATCGACTCTCTGCAATCCAATTGTTGAATGGTTAGCTGAATTGACGAAATTGTGCATATGCAACAGGCGCAAAAACTCACAACAAAGGCAGCACATAGCCGCTGCAGATTATGGGAAAAGGAATGCGGATTGCGCTAAGAGGCGTGCAAAGAGCAAAATGAGAGCACTCCAAAAAGCATTGTGATGCCTCGGCATGGAAATCGATATCCCAATGCAGCAGCTCTTACCGTCGACTTTTTTTGAGATAGATTATTCTGACGGAGATGGGAGAACGGCCAGCGAGGAGAAATTCAATTGGCAGCAGAACGCAGAGAAACACTCTGCATTCTCACCCTGAGGCACAACAAGGCATCGGATTTCTGCAGCGCTTCATGATTTTCCGAACCCAAATACATCTTCGCAGCCAAAGATGAGTTTGATTGCAACCATCCAATCCAACACATAACTAGACTATAGCAATAAGAAAGATAGTAATTAAAATTAGAACTATAGTCTGAGCAAACAAAACGTAAACGGACGCAACTGCACAATAGGGTCATCGCACGCAGACTGGATGCCGTTGCGTATGACAAAGTTATTATTGAGGCATAGAAGAGAAAGCAGACTCTTGGACGAGTGAAAAAAACGCGCTTCATACCTATGAAATATGTCAGAGTTGGTATGATAACTCAAGTAATCGTATGAGATAATTTCTCAGAAGTGACCTGTACTTCACTGTAGATAGAGGATTATCAAAATTTACGGAACGTCTTCCCATGACGCCAGAAGACCAATTAGTTGCAGGATGAAGTACCTCTTACACACCGATGACCGCAACTTCCTCTGCTGCAAGCGATGCACTCGAATACCCTCGAACGCAGCTATGGTGGCTGGCGGACCAGATGACCTGGAATCCGGACCATCAGAACGTGTGAGGTATTATAAACGTCTGCAGCGCAGCAAACGAACGCACCTCAACCGGTAAAAACGGTTGCGCCAGGGCCGTACTATATTTGCAGTTGTAAATTTTGTGTGCCTATTGACAAGTACGATCGGATCTTGGCTAACCTGGGCTTATTCTTCCGCGTTGTCAAAAATGGGCTCCTTTCGAGGCCCTCAATTTCGAGAACTCGTGGACCAGAGCCCGTCCGCCGGTAGGTGCCAGAGTAAGCGAATATTTTGTTCAAATTTGGGTCCGGCGCAGAATTGACGTCACTTGGATTGACGCCAGTATGATGAGTGATGTCCATTCTGTGCGGGACCCCAACCTGAACAAAATATTCGCTTACTCTGGCACCTATAGGCGTGCTGTATTTGTTTGACAGTTTTATTTTTCAGAGCATGGAAAAAATAACTATTTTGGATGAAGCTTACCTTTAAGAAACGAGCGGAAACGCAGAATTTGAAGCAACCTTACGGACTATTGTTTTGTGTTATATTTGCATATAATATCAAATGTTATATGAGAGATTGTAACGCGCAGCATAGGAACTGACAGTTCGTCTTGTCTCTTATCTTGCTTTCTGTTCTTGTTCATGATGTCAGTTTGTTCTTTTACAGGGCAGCTGTACATTCTTGCTTGCGCGATTCTGTCGAATTGTAATGTTATGATGTTTTGGTTTACAAAATAAACATTTAACGCATTAATGGAGTACATTCAAGCACCACACATAAACAAGCAACAAAAATAACCCCGAATAAGTGTCCAAAATTATCAACCCCCGTGCGTGCGGCAACCCACCGTCATGCGGGCGCGCTGCGATACCGCTACGGCCCGCAACACCGGCGCCCGCTCGCTGCGGCGTGGCAACCCGCCCGCACGGAGCGAATCCCTGAGTATATATGGCCAAAGTTGAAGATGAAGAATCGTTGTGGGACCCCATGATGCTGACAGTGCGCGCTCTACCATCCAATGGAATCGCCTTTGCAGCAGTTTCGGAGCAGATTCAGACTTTGTATACGCAACTGTAGCAGAAATGATTCACTCACGGCTGAGGAAACCATCCAAAACCGCGCCTGGGCCGTGGCCGTAACTCGCGGATGGCCGGTGCAGCGCGTAAGTAGTGAAAAAGGGGTAGTTAAGCAACTATCACAGCTTCTCCCCCCTCTCCCACCCCTCTCCTCCATGGCGGATGAACGTGAGCTTTGACCTCAGGTAATGTCATGTCGTGACTGGACCAACGAGAGGACAAAGGGTGCGAGCTGTTTGAAGGGATCGAAAGTCTGAAAATACCGAGTTTTTCGACGACTTTTGCAGTAAACTTGGCTACTTTGAAAAGTCACGGAAAATTGCTCTCGAGTGAAGAGTCCCAAGGGTGGTCTAAAATGCAGCTCGTCTCGCTATTCGTAGCAAACACCAATTGCAGAAGTGCTTTGCTAGCCCTCTCGAGTACATTAGCAAAGACTCTGGAAGCGATGACAGTTGAGTTGAAGGCAGTGTCCAGGCAAATCTGCTCTTGGCTCTTTCGCCTGGAAATTGATGAGGGGGTCCTAACTAAGGAACTATCCAAGGGGCAGCGCAAATTGTTCAATCACGGCTGAGAATTCCGTCCCCGAAAACCCGCGCCTGCGCCGTGACCGTAACTCAAAAACGACTTCGCTCACTTTAACACTACGTTCGCGCTGGGACCAACCCTCCATGAATGAATTAATGGGTGGAGGAGTACAGTCAATATATCAATATATACAAGGATTACGTACTCCCTTTCGCATGGGAAATTACGCATGCGCAACGCAAGGGTACTGCGTGCGGACCTCCAATCGATGAGGCCATTTGAATGCGCGAGCCATACGCGCGCGAACGTGGCACGGAGCTCATTGCATACGGAAAAGGGAGCACGTGATTGACACGGATTGTATATGTCGCCGAATTTGAAAGAGTCCCGCACGGATTCCCTGCAGTAACGCATGTCCGCGCATGCACAAGGGTGCGTATTTGTCGCAAATGACCGCGGGGACCGCCCTTTTTCGGCGACATATAGTCCTCTACCCATGAATTAACTGGCTACGGTTTGGATAGTGTCTTACCTAGAGCCTCCTCGAGGTTTCCAGGCAAAAAACCCATATGCCCAGATTTGCCTGGACACTGCCTTTAAGACGATCAGAAATGCAGAGATGAATTGCATTGCAACCTTAGACCACGACGATGT